AAAAAGAAACCAAAAGGAAGTTATGCTATAAAACATTAATTAACAACAAGTATTTGGCCACTAATAAAATTATTTATGCCACAAGAAAAGGAAACACAACGGATGAAGAACTAACTAACTAACTTGTCCGTGTGGTGACGGATTACGAATACAGAGTGTCACCACCCCTTTTCATCCCGTGGGTGTCGTAAGAGCCTACTAACTGAGCAAACTATGCAGGACAACAGCACTGCTAAGAGACAGAGAACTTGACACAAACCTTTTTTTTTTAACGTGTGGAAATCCCCGCGGACCGTCACCCCACCGGGGCTTGCGGCGGGGTGGTGTGTCGGACTCGGACCGACTAAAACCACACGGTGTGCCACTCTGCGCCTGTAACAGGAGGGATCCGGGAACAGCTGTTATTAAGACATCCGGACCCCTCCTAGCGCCAGCCCGCTCCTAGTGCGGGCTCCGTCTCAAAATTTTCCTCTCTTTAGGCGACGTCCGGCACACGCGGACGCCGCCCCCTCGCGGCTGGCCAAACTAAAACACCAACTAACCCACCCCGTCCACCCGCGGCCACACTCAGGGCGGCATGAGGCGGTGATAGGCGCGCCTCCGCCGCCCGGTTCTTCGGCGGCGGATCGGGTCCGACTGGAGGTCGTCCTCCCGGCCTTCTCCGCCGCCTCCTTCTGCGAGAATTACTTCCTCGCAGAAGGTTGCGACCGCGGGTAAAACAACTGTCGCTACCGGCCTGGAGCGTACTACGGCCGGTAGCGAGAGATCCACTCCGATGACTGCAGTGAGGGCCCGGCGCTGCGCCGCCCATGCCGGGGCAGACCGCCAGCGTGTGCTGGGCCGAGTCCTCACTGCAGTCGCAGAGGTGGCAAGGCGTGGACTCAGGTTCCCTCCTAGCGACCGGGGAGTGCAGGTACTTTCCGAAGCAAACCGTGCCCGGAAAGCACCTGCGTCAGCCGGAAGGAAAGGGTCCCGTGCTGCCGCCCTGCCCAACTCGGCGATGACCGGCTGGAGAGCCTCCACGGCGGCGAAGCCAGCGCGTGGAGTCTCCAGCCGGAACGACCAACGTGCCATCGTGGCTCGGCGAGCGGCTTTCGCGCGACTCGCGCACATCCTCGGGCGGAGGGGCGACATCCGCTCCTCCGCCCGGGAGTCAGCCACTCGCCGATAAACTTCGGCGAGGCACTTCCTCCTCCAAATCCCACGGGGGAGTTTCGGCCAACGCGCACGCCACCTCCGTCAACACGGTGCGGTAACCGCGTATTGGCTCTGACCCGCCATTACCCTCTGAGGGGCGCCAGAAGGCGTGCCCTATTCTGGGCGGTCAGAACTTGACACAAACCCTATACCAACCCCTCTGGCTAGCATGATATAGTGGGCCAAAACCTTCCTTTTTAAGGAGAGGTCCATGGTCCCACGTACAACAGTTGACTAATAAAATGCTGTATGTGATTCTACATATGTGAAACTGCACATGTGACTCTGTATAATATATAGACTCTGATAAACACTGTATAAGTATTATTAATAAATGCGAAACTATGTTTGTTTATTTTTATATTTAAAATAACCGTTACCATAACCACTACGGGGAAAAGTACTATTCCCGAGAAACACGAATAGAATAATAGAAAGTAATAGTTATTTGTAAGTTAGCTGTAAATAAAACAATTCCAAGATAACTCAGAACAGGACTCTCCGGATATTGGGGTTGCCTTACTCAACAGGCGGCATAGGTAGGTACTCTGCTGGAGTTCTCGGGGAGAACAGAACAGAACGAACGGCAGAATGCCTAATGACAGAACACTGTGTGTATTTAGTCTTCCTACCTATTGGAAAAATATTGTATATGTGCCAATACACTCAACAACACTAGTGTTAGTACCTTCTAGGAGAACGACCCTTAGATCGTTGATAAATGCGTAGGTTAAATGTTATCAAATATATAATTGCTGTTACAATGTTGCAAAGTTAAGGCCAACGTGTTCGTGTTCATTTTTAAATATTCTCTAAATAGTCTTCAATAAATTTTACTTTAAAAAAAAATTACATCACAAAAATACCTATGGACACTTTTGGTTTATCAACTACCCACTATACAAAACTCTTATCAAAATTACATTTTCACAACTTACCTAGATATGCTACATTGCGTTAGCTACTTTTTAGTTACGTTGTAGTTAAGGTACTTATAGTGTTTTACTGTATACAATCACTCCAAGGATTCATAAAGGATGATGGATAACACAACTCGTACATTGGTAGCCAACCACGACAAAAACTTTCGTTAGTGGTATTCATATTTCATAATGTATAAACGGATAACTCACTAGTCGGACATCGCCGAAATACACACGTGAGTGAAACCGTTTATCCTTTATGAATTGTCATAAAAGCTCTGTATGACTTGAGGTTAGATAAAGCGAATAAATACTCGAGCATGTTATTGTATTGCAAAGAATATAGTTAGACGAACATTTATTCGTATGTGTAACATAACATGTATTGTATCTTTTTTAAAAGAATATCGGATGGAGATTTGACAGTTTATACGCATTTAGCAGATGAAAAACGCTAGTGTTCATGCATGCTCTCGCAGCCGTGCGATTTTGGTAGTATGTCGTCTCATGCGTTTTTTAACTATTTTAATGCAATAAAGTTTTTTTTTTTTAGTTTGTCTACAACCGAGCCAAACAACACACTAGACAATCTGGCAGTGTCCAAAATACATAAAATACACACATTCTCCAGTAGCAGAGTAAGTGATATCTTAAATTTTCATCTTGGTTGTATTTATTATTGATTTTTATTATAATTGATTTAGCGTGTGGAAACTTCCCTTTAAATGTCCGCCAACAATGTATTTAATACTAAACACTCAATAGGGTACACGTCTCTCTGCACTTTATTAATATCTTGCAAAATGATTTTCAAGTACCTATTAGTTTGTTTTTCTTTATTGAAACTGATTTTTGGCAATAAAAGTTTCACAATAGTTTTAGATACATCCGAATCTATGACAGAGGAATTGGATATTATTAAAGCCACTTTTAGCTCTGTTGTAAACCTTCCTGCTAATACAGATATAGGGGATTATATCCTTGTACCATTTAGTGACCCAGGTAAGTTAATCACAATTATATTGAGTCTAATTTGCTATTTTAGTATACTATAATGATGAAAATGGTCATGAATATATCTACTGTGTGCAAATTTTAATGTGTTTTTAGAGGGACTTCGTAATATTTATGAGTATGATGCTACTATATTCGTTAGTATTTCTAACTAAACATACGCATATTTAATTTTTTTTACATTAGGTTATACTGATGGGCTTTTCAGTTTAATGGTCCGTGGTTATGAATTGTGAGCCAGGGGGTCTTTGGTGCCTCGTCTTCACATCGATCCTTTTGTTGAAAAGTCTCTCTTATTGCCGTTACCGTCGGACACATAAATTTTATCCTTTAAATCAAACCATTGTTTAAAGGAGACAGATTTTCCAGTTTACTTTCAAAGAAAGATAAATGTATCAAATGGCAATTAGGGCTGTAATAGATTTCGCACAAGACGTTTAGATTAATAACTTGGAGATTGTTAAATGACTGCAAAAATGATATCAGACCGAACCGTATCCTTTGTCTATTTTGTTACTACATATGAATTGTAATGTACATTGTCAGAAAAGTAGCGTAGGTTCGAGAAAGGTTTTAGAAATAAGAACAGCACTGATTATTTCAAATTGAATGACGATAAAAGATGATTATAGCGAGATTGAACACTGAGCTTTTAATTAGATATACATTAAAAAGTGGTTAAAAACCTAGGGTGTCAAAAGTTTCACAGTCTCGCCGAAGTTTGATATGTTTTTAATATGCTTACTATACTTGCCCATTTAAATGTAGAAACTATCTTTTACTCTCGACTCGACTCGAATGTTGGTTATCGTGGTAAAAAGTAGCCTATGTTATTCACTGATAATGCATCTTTCCGTTTTTTCTTTCATTTTCTTAAATTGGATTACTGGTTTGAGGTGAAATTGAAACAAACAAAAAACTCACCTTTACATTAATAATATTATTATAAGTATAGATGATCTGTCTTACAAGCCAAAAACAAATTAAGCTTACTATTAAACAACAATCAAATCTTTATGCTAAAAACTGTTGTTATAATAATAATTACTTATTTGATTATTTTTTTCACAGTTGTCGCAGAACCTATAGTGACGTTAAGTTTTAAAGAATTTAAAACTGAATTAAATAGAATCACGCTAAATGGAGGACGAGATTGTCCAGAAGTCGCACTTTCGGGCATTGAGAAAGCTTTGGTAATAAGCAAGCCCAGATCAAATATTTTTCTCTTCACAGATGCATTTCCGAAGGATATTAATAAGCTGGCGTCTATAGAGAACCTTTGTAGGAACTCATTAAGTCAGGTAAACTTTTCCCTTTTTATGTTTACCCTAAGACATGTTTACGTTCAATTATAATATAATGAATTACAATTATAATTTTAGAAAATACTAGAATACGTTAGTAAAACAATCATATAAATTGGGGGTATTTCGTCGATTGACACCACGAGCTGTTAACATCACAGTGCGAATCACACAGGGACGCTTTTTGAAGTCCTCGTTAGGAACCATGGTGTAAATCGAAGTATATTCGGCCAATTCGCACCGTGGTGCAAACCACTCTTTTTGATGTCGTTGATTTGGACCACAACTAATTTTTTTTACATCTTTAGTGATTTTTGTACAATTGAGTAGAAAAAATTTAATGAAACCAAGAGTTTATATAAAACGTTTAATATTATCTTGTTAAGACATAGTTATATAACTATTATATATTAAATATTATACATAGAGTCAATGAAGGAAAATGGGAAAAACGAAAGCTTGTACATTAAATTCTAAACCTTAATAAATGTGAGATTTCCTAAATATGAAATAATCACTCAAATTGTAATTACATTCACATGCACAACATCACTCTCGGCACACTACTGTTGCTTTAAATTAATTACAACTAACAAACGAGAGAGACAGGGATACTAGGTTGTGGTCGCTGATTGGCCCATTTTTAACAAAAGGGTTATGCTTTTATATCGTTTGTGCAATTCAGTTACTGCGAATTGACCACGTACAATAATGACATACGTCGATTTACACCATGGTCCCAAACGACGTCCTAAAAACGCGTCTGTGTGTGATTCGCACCGTGGTGTAAACAGCTCGTAGTGTAAATCGACGAAGTACCCAAATTGGTTCATAAATATAATAATAATAATAATAAAGTTTATCGTCTCAAAATTCTTTACAACAAATGTGTATAAGCTACATTATTGTAGGTAAGTTTAGTTAGCAAAACATTTAATCTACTAATGCCTAAAAAATGAAAACCTGTGCTTTAAACATCAGCAACCTTTCAGTGACACAGGATATTAGCTGCTCAAATAGAATCTAGTTAGCTCTGTACATGAATTAATTAAATGTGACTGAATAGGTTCTTAAAATATAGAATTGAATTTTTAAAATATAGAAATATAGAATAGGTTCTGAAGTTCGTAAAATAAACTATAAATATAAAACAAAATAAAAACAGTTTCGTTCATCTTATTCATTAACAATTTATCTCATCATATGCGTGGGTGTGTGTAGCGCGTGCATGCATGTGTATATGTGTGTGTGGGTTTTTGTGTGTGTGTGTGTGTGTGTGTGTGTGTGCGTAAGTGTAGGTGTGTGTGTGTGTGTGTGTGTGTGTGTGTGTGCGTAAGTGTAGGTGTGTGTGTGTGTGTGTGTGTTTTCTCATCTGGTATATCATCTTACGGTAACCGTCACATTGCGGTGTGGATAATTGACTCCGTTTCTTCGTATGTAAGCTTCTGAAGGTAGTCCTGAACGATTTTCTTGCACGCATGTTTACTTTAGTCGTGAATGTGTAAGCAGTTATTTAGCTTGTTGTACAGGTTGCTGTTGTTGCGTAGTAAACCATTTGTCAACATTAAGAGTTAGTAGGTTAGCTGTAAGCTATTGCGTGACCTTATTCAAGCCACTCTGGGCTGCATGTAAAGTATCTTGCCACGTTAGGGCTTTGAAGGTTAAAGCGGTATCATCGGCAAACGCTACTATTCTGCCGTTCTCTTAGGCTGTCAGATAGAAGGTTGTACGTCTCGAGATATTTTTTGAGTCTATTATTCATAATTCGCTCCAGTACTTTGGAGAGAGCAGGCAGTACAGATATTGGTCTATAATTGGGGACGTCATTTTTAGCTCCTGTTTTATAAATAGGATGCACGAGAGCTTTCTTTAGGAGGTCTGGAAATTTGCCAGTGTTAATGCACAAATTTAAGAGAAAAGTAATAGGTCGAACCAATACCGATTTGTATCTCTTTAGTACGTAAGCAGAAATTCCATCAATGCCAGCAGCACAGTTTGTACGTAAACTGTTTATAATTTGTTCCACTTCAAGTTCATCGGTTTCTAGGAATACTAAAGAATTCCTGGTGTTATAGTTTAGGCAATCTGCCCTCTTGTCGTTGTAATCTGTTACAGTGGTCGATTGTTCAGCTAGGTTCTTACCGACTTCAACGAAGTATCTGTTGACGGTATTAATGGAGTCCTCTGTACAGCGATCTGTTGAAAGCAATTCCTTAACCGACTTTTTTTCATTGGTGGTACAAGTAACTTCCTTGATAACGCTCCAAAGCTTTCTAGGATTAGTGTACGCTGTCCTAAGTATATTTCTTTCATATTGTCTTTTCGTATTCTTCAATATAGTGTTGCAAAAGTTCCGATATCTTCTGAAGGTAATGCTGAGTACCTCATTATTAGATGAATTTTTATATGCTTTGTACATTCTGTCTCTATTACGCATGCATCTTAGTAGTCCGGCAGTTATCCAAGGCTTTAAGATTCTAAGGCGGTGTAGGACAGCGTAGGTATCAGAACTTAGTGAGATACCCCTAGACAGAGAATCTATAAAGTACTTGCAGGCTTCGTTTGCATCTGATAATTGATATAAAAATTAGAAGTTTATAGATTTAATATGGTTTACAAGAAGTTGTCATTTATTATTTTGTTAACTTTGTTGTTATTTTCATGTCTGTACGATTTATTTAAGCAAAGCATGACCGCACTGTGGTCCGTTACCGTAGATTCCAGTACTAAAACTGTATTTGTAAGTTTACTTTTCAATATTATATGATTTAGACATGTATTAAAATGAGTCACTCTAGTATGACCGGGCAACAGACCATGGCTAGCCAAAAGATTTAAGTACTCAGGAGCCCTAGTATCGTGACTCTCCTCGACGATATCTATGTTAATATCACCTATTAATATTATATTAGCATACCTAGAATTATTTGTTAAAATGTGATCTAGAGACACCAGAAAGTTGGTTAAATTTTTGAACGAAGGGGGTCTGTAAATTGCTATTATGCATATATCTCCACTTATAATTATTAGAACACCATTGGCCTCCGAGAAATCTACCTCTATGATTTTACAGTCCGGTATGGTGTTTCGGGTAAATATAACTATCTCATCATTCTGATTTAGTGTCTTGGTACTATAAAAACTATCATAACATATTCAGTTATCTGATATATATATACATGGTGTCCAATAGGGAAAAGTGTTCAGAAATATTTTACCAATAGGCATGAAAAAAAGAAAATATACATTCATTGTTGATTCCATTCCGTTTATTTTACAATTTATTTTATTTCATAGTCTATCTAAACTCCACAGCATATAATAATAATAATAGTAGTAATAATTATTGTAATTTATATCTTGAGATGTCCAATTAATACAATGTCAAGTGTTAATAATAATAAGTCTAGTGTCGTAAAAATTAGTTATAGATATATCGAGGTCATTAATCTAATAAATTACATAATAAATATACAATATTGATAGAAGCTACCAAGCTACCACTATTTACGATATTTGCGGACATACAAACTTACACATACTTTCCTTTTTTGAACACGCTAAAATAGTGCCGCTGCACCTTTCAGTATTCTGGTATGTGTAGCCTACCGTCAGTTAAGCTTAACTTGTTTAATTGTCACAAAACGCGCCTGACAGAATCACACGAGGCATTGTAAATCTATGAAGCTTTCACTTACAGTCACATGCTGTTTAATAATAAAAAATCACTTTCATGTTTAAAAAAAGAAATAATAAGTTATTATTGACTTCACTTGAAATGGGCTTTGAAGTACTACTCATTTGCATGTTAGTTATTATAAAGCTTTATAAAACATTATTTTTATAGGTTATCATATTTTTGACTGGATACTGTAAAAATGGATCTCGAGGAAATGTTGAAGCTTATTATGATGTAGCTAAAGCCTGCTCCGGCACAGTGTTTCAGTTGAATAGCGCCGATTTAAGACAGGTTAGACTTTTTTGGTTTTCTTATTCGATATTAGCATACACATATGCAAACATAAACTTAACCATAGAGGAAGGATATCGACTGATTGAAATAAAAATCCATTAAACGCTGGCTGAATGTCTGTCGTGGGTGAAGCAGAGGCGTGGCGGCAATCGAAGTGGGAATTATCTCGCTCGGTAACATGATTGCGGCCATAGTACAGATAAGAGAGCGTGGAACTCCGACCTCTCCTTCTGCAAATTATGCTTTAGAAAGAGATGGTGGAACGGGACCGGGAGAGGTTTAGAACTGTACGGGAGAACGGGACAGATATCTCAGACGACTAGGGCGCCGGAGGTAACAGAACACTTTGGATGGTTTCCGAGAGGATTTCCGTATACTTATATTGTAAATGTAAAACTGAGTTTTTTGTTTGTTTGTTTGTTACTGGTGATTTGTGGTTAAGACGTGAAAGCGTAACAAACAAACTAACTCACTTTCACATTTATAAGTATGGATTGTATGTATTTTCATATTGAACATTTCAGGTTTTCCGATATATAAAGGAAATCATAAAAGTGGAATGGACCAACGTAATTTCTTATGATAACTTTCAAAACTATAAAGAAATCTCGGTGAGTTACTTATTATACCTATATCTAATCTAACGAGGGACTCAGTAGATTCCTTGACGTTAGTATCCATAATAAATACCTGATAAATGATTTTGTAGTGTGACCAGCAAATTCAATTAGATAATAATAAAATTATTGTCACTACATAATTTAACTTTCCTCTGTATTCACTAGATAACCCTGAAATATGTTTTGTTGTATGTGATAACTAAATTTCTGGTTTCGTAAATATTTATATTCAATTACAATTATATCAGTTTTCAGTGGACTCTTTTACAAAAGATGTAATATTGGCGATATCTGGGAAATATCTATTAGTTAAATTGTCTCCAGTAGACAAATCAAATGTAACACTTGAGAATATTCTGGAATCTTCACGTGCACAGGTAATTATCAAACTTAATGCTAATTCCATATAAATATCAGTAGATATGTTATTTAAGTATTTTTTGTAGCAGTTTTTTTTAAATATGTGTGTGAGTTTTAGGTAATTCGATTGGCAGAAGCCTTACCCGGCGACTACACCGTTAGTGTCAGAAGCCAGGGCACCACTTCTCTCACCTTGTATAAGAAATTTCAACTACCCATGCAAATAGGGTTTCTCAACTAAAAAACCACGAAGCCAAAAAAGAAACTAGTAGAAGACCGATGCCAGGTAATATTTCCGTTTTTTTTGGGCAATGGGAAAACCCAAACTTACAAAAACTTTTAAAAGAAACCTTTTAAAAAAGTTAGCCCCCCCGTTGTTCAATTTTTTGAAAGAGAGATAGGGAGCAGTTGCCCCGAGTAGAACCAGGGCCCTTCACAAAAAAATCAGGGGTAAGCAATTTTTTTTCTAGCAATGTTTTAACTCTTTACTATCTTCGGGCATCATAAGCCTATCGCAGTTCACAGTGCGGGATATAGGCCTACCCTATTGACCCCACTTCGATGGGTTTTCGGTTTCCCTCGCATCCAGCCCCTACGGGCCACCCCGTTTTTTCCCCCAAACCTGACCTGGGGCCCGTTTGTTTTTACTGTTTGTTACACCCTCGAAACCGTATTTCACCCAAGGCAGCGCTTTCAAACCACGGTACGAAGCGCGGGTACCGGTATTATAAATAAAAAGGCCCAAATAATGGGTTTTCGGATGTGTACTTAGATTGGGGTTTGACGTCACCCGTCGGGGGAATTTGGTTGACCTTTATCCTGTTTAGGGAATTTAAAACACGTTATTACCTTTTTTTACGGGAAAGAGGAAAATTACTATTTCCCTAGATGTCGTGAACAGGGATAAAGCTAAAATTAAATTTGGGCAAACAGACGTTAAAGGGCCCCAAGAAAAAAAAAGGAAATTATCACTGCAGGAATATTCCGCCGACAATATTTGGCAAAAAACCCCCATCGATCCTGAAAAGAGCTTCAAAATTTTGGGGAAAATTTCCAAAAAAAAAAAATCTATAGTAGTCCCACGACCTTAAAAAAATTAAACCAAAAACTTTTTTTAAATCCAAATACCATTCAACCGAAATTTAAAGGGTTTGAGGGAAACAAAAGGGAAACTTTTTAAAAAAAAAATTTGCCCTCAAGTTAAAACCCAAATTTTCAAAATTTTGAAATATTTCTACAAAAAAATGCAATCTTTGGTTTAGTTTGAAAACCCTTTATAAAACTTTTCGAAACATCTTCATTTAAAATTTTGACAACCCCCCCGGTTTTTTACTGCATATTTTTTAAAGGGGGTTTATTTTATCCACGAAAGCAGATTTGTTTTTTATTTTAATTTCAAAACCAGGTCACGAAAAAAGTGTTAAGAAAAGTTTACGGGGTTACGAAAAAGTTAAATCCTAAAAATACAGGTATTTCAAAAAAACAGAATTAACAAAAAATCAAATTAAACATTTAGACATTGGGGTTTTGGGTTTCCAAGAAAAAAAGAATAGGTTAAAATTTACCCAAAATTTTTTCAATAAATTTTAAGTTGTTTACATTAAAAGTTGTTTTAATTTAAATTGGCCCCCTAGGCCCCCAAATTTTGGGGTTTCTATAGAAGTTTAAAGGACTCCTTCGTTTGTGTATCTTTACTTTACTAAATTTTATTACCCCCCCTAGTTTTTACGTATAGGGCCGGCATAATACAGATTTGCCGCATTAAAAAAGGCCCAATATCGAAAAAACACGGACAAAAAAATTGATTGAAATTTTAACCGACCCCAAAAATAGTTTCTAATGTTTTTCCCTCATGCCCCCTTTGACGTTCGTTAACTAATTTTTTCCCTTTCATTATGACGTTCTCTATTATAGACTTCAACAACAGTCGCTTTCAACAAAAAAATTATAAAAAAATTCCATGATAAAAAGATTTTACTTGAAAATTACACAATAGTTTTAGTGATTTAAAAACCCAGAATAAAAATTTTGAAAAAAAAAGTTAGACGGTCAAACCCTTCAAACAAAACCCAAAAAGAAAAACCAAAAAAATTAGAGAACCCATTTCGGGAAAAAAATCGGGGAAAATTTTTTTTATTTTTAAATTTTCTATAAAATATTGTTTGGGAAAAAATATCTTCAATTTAAGAGGGGGTTTATAAATCCACTGGTGGGGCATAGGCCTCTCCCCCAGAAGGAGGTTTTGGCCTAATACCGCGCTGGGCCCGGGCGGGTTGGTTTAAAAAGGGTTTTTGTAAAGGGTTTTCCCCTTCTGCTTGCAGTGCCGTTCTTTCAGTTTTTGAATTGCGTAGTTGTCCCCTTGTCCCTCAATTTCACCCCCTTTCTTGTATTAAATCATCGCAAAAAAATATCCAAAAAAGCTTTACCGGGCAATAAAGGTTTTTGTGAAAAAAAAAATTAGGATTTTACGAAAAAAAAAACGGAAAATAATTTAAAAATAAATAATAATTATCAAAATTTAACAAACATCCACAACAATTTAATTTGTCCACTGTGGACATAGGCCCTCCTTTAAAGGGGCTTTTGGCCCCACAAAAAAATAATAATAAATAGCGAGCCCACAATGGTTGGGTCATGCCGGTTCTGATGTATTCCTTTGGTATACTTAGATGGACTCAGACCGAATTAGATGCCCTTGACAGGAAAGTCCGCACACTGCTGACTGCATCCCGAATGCACCACCCACGTTCATCAGTTATGAGATTGTATACCCGCGAAAGCTTGGGGGTCGCGGACTATTAAATATCAAAGACCCTACATAATCGCGAGATATGCAATCTCAGAGAAATATTTTCTACATACCGACGTGGGAGTGCATCGCAATGTAGTTGCAGTGGATACCGGCTTCACCCCGCTCGCTCTGGCTAAAGAGAATTGGCGCAGACCTGTAGTACTTGGTGTTAATGATCGCAGGGAAGTATGGAAGGGCAAAGAGCTCCATGGTCGGTTTTATCGGGCCCTAAACGGGTCCGATATAGATTTAAAAGCATCTACGACTTGGCTACGGTATGGTGATCTCTTCGGAGAAACTGAAGGTTTTGTTTGTGCGATTATGGACGAAGTTATAATGACGAATAACTATCGGAAATATATCCTGAAAGATGGTACGGTTGACATCTGTCGGGCATGCCACCGTCCTGGCGAATCAATCAGGCATATTATTTGTGGTTGTTCTCGTCTTGCTAACATAGAATATTTGCACAGGCACAACCAAGTAGCCAGGATCGTACACCAACAGCTTGCCCTTAAATACCATCTTGTGAATCTAGAGGTGCCATACCCAGTTCTCGAGAATGGTCGGGCTACGTTGTATTGGGATCGATCTATTATCACAGACAGGACTATTGTTGCCAATAAGCCTGATATTGTGCTGATAGATCGATTAGAGCGCCGCGCAATGATTGTTGATATCGCCGTTCCTCATGACGAGAATCTCGTGAAAGTTGAAAAAGAAAAACAAATTAAATATTTGGATTTATCTCACGAGATTGTCGATATGTGGAATGTTGATTCAGTGATCATTGTTCCGATAGTCGTATCTGCTCACGGATTGATAGCCAAGAGCCTCGACCAACACCTTAAGAGGCTCACGTTGGATGGCTGGATCAAGGGTCTGATGCAGAAGGCAGACCTCCTTGACACGGCTCGTATAGTGAGGAGGTTCCTATCTTTGGAGTCCTAACCACCGGTGTCTTGGTCCCTGTACCCGATGTCGGTGGTCTACTATTTTTTATATTTTTAAATGTATTTTTTTCTATAATTTTTTATAAAGTGTATGTTTAAAAATGTAAATAATATGTATATAAAGTAAATAAAGAGAATAATAATATAAATAAAATAACATTGGTATGAGTTAAACTTTGTTGTCTCCTTCTCCAATCAACCTCTTAGAATAATTACGTTTACATTCATGCCATTTGAAACATGGATTGACAAATAACATAACAAAATAGGTTACAACAATTGACCAAGTACATATACGAGTACAAGTACATAAAAAGGTTATCTGAAAGAGATCGTTCTAGAGTTCATTAAACTGGCCGTTAATATTTTTAATTGAATGGCGTGCGTACAATAAAAACATTGAAATTATATTTTATGAAAAAAAGATAAAATTGCTTGACCTGAGTGACTGATTCATCAACGCAGAGTATAAACCGCTGTGGCTACAAACTTGGTAGCTGATGCTTTTTGTGTTGTAAACACCCACTAAGAAAGAATAAAGTCTAAAGTATATCTCGATTACTGCTACTAAAGATCGCCCAAATTTGACCGTTATCAATGTTTTGTTCTTTTTGTTTGACCAGTAGGTACAACTTGAACTTTCATTTTTGAGACTTTTGTACCGTGACAGGACGAAATACACACTGGACGCTAACAGTTGGATTAAGTTTAGTTTTAATATCATATTTAACTTAATAGTGTGTATCTAAGTATGACATTTTCTAATATTAATCCAAGTTTTTGTTTCCAGTACTAGATCCAACATGGATAGAACCGAAAGCTGAAATTCTTGAAGGAACGTCCATTATAATAAATTACGGTAACCAAGCAACTCTGGCGTGTAAAGTGGTAGGATACCCAACGCCAACAGTTTGGTGGGAAGATAACGAGGATAACTCAACGCAATCAGATGTAAATATATAATAATTTTACCTGTTTACACTTAATTATGCCCAGTACCTAGACTGTATCTAATATATAAAATTCTCGTGTCACGGTGTGCACGGTTGAACTCCTCCGAAACGGCTCCACCGATTTTCGTGAAATTTTGTGTGCATATCGGGTAGGTCTGAGAATCGGCCAAGATCTATTTTTCATATACCAATTTTATTTTATTTTGACAAAAAAAAATGAAATAATTTATATGGCAAAACAACGTTTGCCTGGTCAGCCAGTACACCTAATAACCCAAAAAAATACGTAATAAGGTATGACGGAGGACCGGTGTCCTGGTTGTTTTTAAAAGGAGTGATGTCAGCAAAGCTGACGTCATCTTTTACGTTGTCGTAGTTTTCCTTCATAAAATCTGTAGTAAATAACAGTTAATACAATAAAGATGTATTCCAAAGTCTTACCCACAATTGTACATAGATCTCTACGTTAGTCGATAAAGACAACCTGTAAATACAATTAAAGATGCATTCCAAAGTCTTAAACACAATTGTACATAGATCCCTACGGTAGTCGATAAAGACAACCAGTAAATACAATTAAAGATGTATTCCAAAGTCTAAACAAGAGCCGTACATAGATCCCTACGGTAGTAGATAAAGACAACCTGTAAATACAATTAAAGATGCATTTCAAAGTCTTAAACACAATTGTACATAGATCCCTACGGTAGTCGATAAAGACAACCAGTAAATACAATTAAAGATGTATTCCAAAGTCTAAACAAGAGCCGTACATAGATCCCTACGGTAGTAGATAAAGACAACCTGTAAATACAATTAAAGATGTATTCCAAAGTCTAAACAAGAGCCGTACATAGATCCCTACGGTAGTAGATAAAGACAACCTGTAAATACAATTAAAGATGTATTCCAAAGTCTTACCCACAATTGTACATAGATCCCTACGGTAGTAGATAAAGACAACCTGTAAATACAATTAAAGATGCAGTCCAAAGTCTTACCCACAATTGTATATAGATCCCTACGGTAGTCGATAAAGACAACCAGTAAATACAATTAAAGATGTATTTCCCAAAGTCTAAACCAAGAGCCGTACATAGATCCCTACGGTAGTAGATAAAGACAACCTGTAAATACAATTAAAAATGCATTCCAAAGTCTTACCCACAATTGTACATAGATCCCTACGGTAGTAGATAAAGACAACCTGTAAATACAATTAAAGATGCAGTCCAAAGTCTTACCCACAATTGTATATAGATCGCTACGGTAGTCGATAAAGACAACCAGTAAATACAATTAAAGATGTATTCCAAAGTCTAACCAAGAGCCGTACATAGATCCCTACGGTAGTAGATAAAGACAACCTGTAAATACAATTAAAATGCATTCCAATGTCTTACCCATAATTGTACATAGATCCCTACGGTAGTCGATAAAGACAACCTGTAAATACAATTAAAGATGTATTCCAAAGTCCTAAACAAGAGCCGTACATAGATCCCCTACGGTAGTAGATAAAGACAACCTGTAAATACAATTAAAGATGTATTCCAAAGTGTTACCAACAATTGTACATAGATCCCTACGGTAGTAGATAAAGACAACCAGTAAATACAATCATAGATGTATTCCAAAGTCTTACCCACAATTGTACATAGATCCCTACGGTAGTAGATAAAGATAACCAGTAAATACAATTAAAGATGTATTCCAAAGTCTTACCCACAATTGTACATAGATCCCTACGGTAGTCTATAAAGATAACCAGTAAATACAATTAAAGATGTATTCCAAAGTGTTACCAACAATTGTACATAGATCCCTACGGTAGTAGATAAAGACAACCAGTAAATACAATTAAAAATGTATTCCAAAGTCTTACCAAGAGCCGTACATAGATCTGTACATAGACTGATCTGCGCTCCCACTAGCGCTTTTAAACTAAACGAGGACTAGGTTTGATGTTTTGATTTCATAATTATTACATGAATTAAGCGAATAATAATTAAATTACGCCAATGAATTAATTTATATCACTGTATTGTAACAAAACTTCTTAATTTTTTATCGTCATCCTCTCCTTTTAAGTAGTTTTCGCCATTAGGTATAGTATGTATTCTGCTTGTGCCGTGCCTGATATAAATTAAATTATACTTTCTGATATTTACATTGTGAAAGTGTCTAAGTGCTAGTCTGGATCGCGCATCGAGGGTTCCGTACAATCTTGTAAGTAGATCGGTTATTAGTCCCAGGAATTAGTTCCCTCTTTTTCGCTAAGGCAATTTGAGTGACTAAGTTGTTTATAGTACTAAATCATTCTCCCATACATCGAAATATCATATAGGTATTAAGTTTATATACAGAACTAATGAAAAACTTTTTACAAGTATAATTATGTAGGTAAATTGTAAAACAATTGAATATGGGTACATTTAACAAAATGCGATACCTATTAAGTTTTGTACTTTATACGAACAATATTCTTGCTCAATGTACATAAATATACACAGAACAGGCAATCTGAACCCATGTGCAGTTTTCGGAATTTCCTGTTTTGCATACGACAGACAAATTGTTATCAAAATATTCCAGAGCACACTAGTGTTGTAGGTACTAGTCTCTTGTTTAAATATAAATTTATTTAGTCATCCATGTACATAACAGCTATTTATAAATTTGGAGAGTTAATTTAGTGTGTAATCATAATATACTTTTAACCAATTCATTTGTACTGACGACCCTACACCTTAAATATATTATTAACGGATATTCCGATTTTAATTTAATAAAACATTATTATTGTTACAGAGTGTGCTGTTAGAAATACCATCATTGTACATAAGCTACTATAACATCGAAAACGTAACCACAAACATTACAGTTTTTTGCAAATGCAGGAACTCCAAAGGCGAAGACTCCCAGCGGATAGACGTGATTGTTCACAGACCATTCACGTTCGAAGTTTTGCAAACACCTGAAGGTACTCATCTATTGTAACACTTCCACTAATCATAGTGGAATTAGGAGGTCATCGTTTTCGGAAAAAAAACAGAGTAAAAAAATGTACACAAAGCATGCGTATTGAGAATGTTAGCGCCTGGCGGTCGACACCCGACGCGTCGGGTGTCTTCTCTTATTCCGGGTGTCTTCATATTTTTTACTGACCAATACGTAGTCTAATAAATACTAATAGTGAGTCAACTCAACTACTGGAGGAGCAATGTTGGGGAGCGGAGTCCCCCTCCTGCCCTCGACATCTGTGGAAGTACTCCTCCTGCCCGTACGCCCGTTCAGTAGTGTCACGTACATCGCAATAGTTTTAATATTTGATTAACTCACATTAGTATTTATCTCTTTTATCTCTTTACTTATATGTAGTATAATATAAGAGAAAGAGCGTGTAACAATACTCTCAATGTATTTGGTTGTTTTGGCAGTTACATGTAATTACAAAAATACCTATATACTTACATTTAAAAATATTATTTATAACATTACTTATAACTATATAAATTACATATAATTACAATAATATCGTGATGGAATACTGCACTGATGGAATTTGACTGCACGTATGGCGTAGTGGTTTAAGTGGCCGCCACGCCGTTCACTACTACGCTGAGTGTTGTGGGTCCGATCCCCACATGGGACGATACTTTGTGTCATCCACAAATTATTTTTCTGAGTCTGGGTGTTCTTTTTATCCGTTTCATGTATGTTTGTAAAGTAACCCGCGATACAGGATATAGACCTAATGCGGCCGATATCTTTTAAAAAAACAAAAAAACTGCAGCAATCACATGATTCTAAGAATACAATTTTACCAAAATCTTTTCCCAAACTGTAATCACGAAACCAAAGAAACGAAATAAAATAATCTCCGATGTATAATTTTAACCTGTTATATAAGAGTATGATTTATTCAACCTTTTAAACAGACTGACAAGATACTGCTTTATAGGTAAAATATAGTTAAATTAGGCAAATACAATTTTTACCTAGCTATCCACGATCGTGATCCTTTTTGTGACCACCCTTACACATTTTTAGTCGAGACAGTCTTGTAGGTATTTAGCCGTCTATCAAAGGATTTAACTCACTATTAGTATGTATTACACATATGCCAATACCATGACAGAATAAAATATACACTAGGCGCAAATAGTGCTATGTAGACGTTTTTACGTGCTCGTAATTTTCAACTTTATAGCAATTATTTCATAAACATGTTACCTTTCCGCCCTTCTTTTATATAATTATAATAATTAAGTATTCCCAATATGATCTGCTCTGATGCGCTGTATTATACGTGTTAAAAAACTAGTACAAACAATTTTCTTTGCGTAATAATACTCGTATACATGTAGAAGCTATAGTTTGACATATGTATCTATTTAGTAGTTTAGGCGTGAAAGCGTAACAAACAAACTCACTTTCACATTAATAATGTAAGTATGGAAGTATGGATGAATAATATATTATTACGTAAACAGTATATATAAATATACCATAGAAGGCACATAATTGCCCACAAGTTCATTAATCTTGGGAATACCATAACGTTCTTCCTACTTCTCTACCTACCTACATTGTGTTATTATTATAATTTTGTAGTATTAATGCGAAATACTGATAATATTTGTTCAAAATAACTATGACTTACATTTACACTTACAAGGACAATATCAAGTTAGCAATAAAGCAAACAATAACATACTGGTGATTTTATAGGCGTTTTGGAAACGAAATATTTTAATTTGGAATCATCTATAGTACCAATAAAACTGATTAAATCAGTTGTAATGTTGTCTAAAAAAAAAGTTTCTGTTTTAATATTCATTTTTACTCGATCGACTTGGAAAGTAGTAATGTACTGATCATTCATTCATTATCTTATATGCGTGAAACACGTCCGTGGGCGTTTCGGCGGCCGCTGCGCACCGCTGACGCTAACAGCAGCTGATAAAAGTATACCTATAGGCGCGAGCTAGCGAGTACTTACGTAGATAGACTCCAATTTGTCCTTCATACTTTACACGGGCTTAGGACCGTCGGAAATACCTATTTTATTTAAACTTCTTTTCGATTATTAACCACGATTGTTCTTTTCACAACAAATCAATTTATCAACGGACTGTAGGTATAAATATTTCAGGCGTATTTAAAAAATCGGAGCTATCTACAGAATAATTAACTTACATAACTATTTACACTATTTACACTTCTCTGTATCGAAGGAACTGCTCAAAATGGAGTCCGCTGCATTCAATACACAAACGTCCACGTTTAATGCAATTGTTTTTAATTTTCTTAATGTGTCTCTATCACTTTTCACTTTATCAAAAGCGTCCACTATCGCAATGCGTAAATTATCACGGCTTTCATATTCCCGTGTATAAACAAGTCTTTTTATTTCCGACCATAAGAAAAAATCCAGGGGCGTTAAGTCCGGGCTTCTAGGTGGCCAAGGCACTGGCCCTCCTCGACCTATCCACCGATCACTAAACTCATTGTCCAGGTATGCACGCACTACACTCCGGCGAATAATAATTTAAACGTCCTTGACCTTGCGCGTGAGCGCGCGACCTTTATGTGACTCAATATTAAAACGCATAGTATTTCTATTCGTAGTATTTACCTACTTGCGATTGAAAAGCCCTACTACTGGTTCTCACCTTTTCTCTGTAATCGATATGAATATCGACTTTGATGATAAAAAAAATATATATTTTATTAAATTAACGTTATATATAGCTTCTGTTACTGATAAATAATTCAAAATTTTCTTTTCCAAAACGCTTTCAAAATCACCGTGTATATTTACTAAATATAACTGTACATTTTATCACCGTTATTCATCTTTAACGCGAAAGTCAAAGGAGATACTTTATTGCAGATACTACGGTAGAGTACGGTAAAGAAGGTAGGCTGTTCTGTCAAGTGTCTGCATACCCAGAAGCTGAAATCAAATGGTACCATAACCACACTATTGTCACGAAAGAAGAAGATTTAGAAGTGTTGTCCGATGAAAACGCTCTTCTTATTAAAAACATGAATGTAGACAAAACCGGTGATTACGAATGTGAAGTGAGCAACACAATGCACACTAAAACTTACAATGCTGCTGTGACTATCTCGGGGATGGGTAAGTAATAATAATCTTTATTACATTTACCCTTCAGGTAAATAAATAAATGGCGCAATTTAAAACAAGAGGTGCTATCGACCTAACTACTTTTGATTAATATACCTATATTCAATCAAATCATTCATCAATCAAAGGGCGGAATTAGGAGGTAACAAACATAAAAAATAAATGCAACCTAATTGAAAACCTCCGCTTTTTTTAATCGATTGAAAAATAAACAAATATTAAATATATTTACGTTTCAAAACTGCACGTTTACATCTTAATTCACAATGTATAGAAATTAAATTAGAATAAACAATATGGAAGCCTAACGTACACATAAAACAAATGTTTGAAACGGTTTCAATCAATGACGTTGTTATTACTTATCACACATTAATTGAACCGCGATGTGCGGAACTGATTCAATCCATCGTCTCGTCAATCAAAATAATCAACTGCCCATCATTATCTGTATTGCGACAGACATCTATATAGGTGTGATGAAAAAAGGATTTGTAATGATTGTATTATTTATGTCTTTCTCTAGAAAGGTTATAAATAAAAATAATTTTTGATCAATTTTAGACTATTAAAACTTGTATTATTAAAAATATTTTCTTTGTCGAATAAATGTGTAAAATCTGTTAGTACTCGTATTTTATGATTTTAATAGAAATTAAATTATACATATGTACTTCAGATGGTAACAATAAATATATGGTATTTTTTTAGTAGAAAGGAACACTGAATTAGGTAATTCAAAGCGGAGCGTGTATTCTTAATACTCAATTTCACGATAATTTAAATAACTAAGATTTGTATATTTAAGATTTATTTATTAAGATTTAAGATATTATGTAAGATTTGTATAATATTTATGATATTTACATATGATATTTAATTTGTAAAATAACTTACGCTGAAGTTTTTGCCTCTGAAGACGGAACAGCGTGCTGTACATTGAAAAAAAAATGACTCCGGTTTAATTATGACGTGTCTTCTCGTAAAAAATGTAACAAAATGTTCCTCGAAGTTTTTGAAATTATTTTCAACTTTAGTTACAAAGACATTGATTAATGACACAATTCTAATTCTTGCAGAGGCGCCACAAGTAGAAGTAGATAACTCAAATATAACTCTGCACCCAGGGGATTTCATTGATCTTGAATGCAGGTAATAAAATATAGAGACCTATGTGCAATACCCAACGACTATGAATAGAATTGCATGTGCATTTTAATTTAGTTATATTTCTTAAGTAACGCGCTTTTAACTTTTATGTTCACGTTATTTATTTCTCCTTTCACGTCTTATGAATGAAAATCTACATTTTGTACAGAGTAATAAGAGGAAAACCCACGCCAGTGATTGTTTGGAAATTTATTTCTAAAGATGACTTTGAAGTTATGTTACCGGAAGGTGTAACTTTGGATAAGGAGAAACTTAAAATAACAGCAGCGCAAAGTGAACATAACGGAGTGTACCGATGTTATGCCACTAACTCGGAAGGGCGCCATTTCGCTGATATTGCAGTAACAGTACAATGTGAGAATCAACGTTTTGTGTATATTATATTTTTCAAATACCTACACATTTATAATTGGTTTAAATTAATTTGAAATTTACGTCTAAGTCCTAAGGCTTATACGTAAATTTACTTAAAATTGTTATTTATGTTTAAAATTACCCTTAAATTACAATTACTCACGTATTTACGTTTTTCGTAAACGTTTTACCTTTCTGTCGGTAAACGGTAAATGACATTACTGTAACCGCGACGTTTGATCTATGCATAACAAACTTATAATATAAATAATGACGGGTTCATCCTTTTACCCGATACTTTTAAAGTTGTTAATCAGAAAGTAACTTATTTTATAAATATTCTAGATCCGCCTATCATATCAGATAATGGGGCCACAGAATTAGAAGTAAAAGAAGACGATAATGTTGTACTCCAGTGTGATGTAACTGGTTCACCGGCTCCAACCGTGTGGTGGGAGAGGTCACAGAATGGTGTCATCGTACCATTGGACCACAGACACCATACAGACAACAACAATGAACATAGGTACCTATATACATTAATGAAGTGACGTAACCGATTTGGAAAAGTAATCCCCTTGATAAAAGTCACCATTTACGCAAAAACAAAACTACACATCTCCAAACAATTATACACGTATAAACGACAGCGACCTTGACTCTTCAACTTTTCAATGACATACCTTGCGTACAAACGTTACATTAGAAATCCAGTCACACTATTACGCATAAATTTATGTCTCATTGATGACCTCACTGAATTTACGAAAGCAAGAGGAAGTCAATTTATATATGGTTTAATCTAATCTATATATTTAATAGTCGTCTGCGTCCATCTTTGTGTATTTAGGCGTGCGTAGGAGTTTTTTTTTATATCATTATAAATTTACTTCTAATAATGTATAATACGCCAAACATACTGTTTTTTACAGGTTCAAAGCATTGGATACGGACTCCGGAAAGTATCACTGTGTCGCTGAAAATTTTCTGGGCAAAGTGAACAAAACTATCGTTGTCAAGGTTTTAGGTAAGTTCATTAATAATATGAATGACTTTTACTTATTTAACTGTTCCTATCAAACTTTATGTACACCAGTACAAAAAAGATTTGATTGTGTTTAAAGCATATTCATATTTATAGAGTTAAAACATAAACCCGATACTAATAATATCATAAATAATATTAATAAAAATATCCCCATACATCACGCTAACTGATCTTAAACTAGGCAAAGCTGTCCTTATGGCAACCAGACTGCTGATAAACATACTTACATATTATAGATAAATTACACCCAGAGATAGAACAAATGATCGTGCTGGTCACACAATTATTTGTCCTGGGTGGGAATCGAACAAACAATCTGTGGCCCTGCAGTCAGTGTCACTAACCAACAGGTTCAAGTTTCAAGTTGCGATAGATAAAACAATCCTTTTGAAAGAAAGCTTCTGATGTTTGACGCCTCAAACTGTTCTACTTTCTACTGTCATTACACCTAGGTCATACTCGTCGTGAAGTTGTAAAGTGATTACATATTATTATAAATTACACTACTTGATAAAAGTCCCGCCGGGGTTTGCGGCGGGCTGGTGTGTCGGAATCGGACCGACTAAAACCACATGGTCTGCCACTCTGCGCTTGTAATAGGAGGGATCCGGGAACTGCTGTTATTAAGACATCCGGACCCCTCCTAGTGCCTGCCCGCAATGGCGCGGACACCACCCTCGGGTATATTCTCTATTTAGGCGACCTCCGTCACAGGCAGACGTAGCCTCCGCGCGGCTGGCCGTTATGGCGGGTGGAGGGGAAAACCCGTCCAGCCTCGGCCACCCTCAGGGCGGCATGAGGCGGTGGTAAGCGCGCCTCCGCCGTCCGGTTCGCCGCGACAGTCCGAGTGCAGGTTGTCCTCCCGGGCCTTCTCCGCTGCCTCTTTCTGCAAGATGACGTCTTCGCAGAAGGATGAAATATCTGACCCAACCGGCCATGGAGCGTATGACGGCCGGTAGCTAAAGAGACCCCCCCCCCCCCCGATGACTGCAATAAGGACCCGGTGCTGCGGCGACCAAGACGGGCAAATTGCCAGCGTGTGCTGAGCCGAGTCCTCACTGCAATCGCAGTGGTTACAGGCGGGACTCAATTCCCTCCTAGCGACCGAGTCCCAAAGCAGCCGTGCCCGGAAAGAACCTGCATCAGCCAGAAGAAAAGGGTCCCGTGTTGCCGTCCTGCCCACTCGACTATGACCGGCTGGAGCGCCTCAACGGCGGCAAATCCCACGGGGGATGCGCACGCCGCCTCCGTCGAAACGGTGCGGCAACCGCGTATGGCTCTAACTGCCAATATCCTCTGAGGGCGCCAGAGGCGTGCCCTATACACCGGTATACAGCCGTCTCGTTCGGGTCCACCCAAATTGGGTAAAAGTCGCCCTAGGGCTGAAGCAGCGCCGACCAGCTTTACAGCAAGCTGTCGAGCAGTACAGGCTCTGCCTAGTTTACTATCCGACGGCCGGGTGAGAAATGTGCGAAAATGTTATGATATTATTTTCAATTGCAGTGAAGCCGTACATTGAGGCCCCAGCATCAACAACAAGGACTGTAAGAGCTGGCCAATCTATTAATTTAGCATGCAATATTAAGTTTGGCAACCCTGAGCCTTCTACTAAATGGCAATTCATAGCATTAGACTCTAGTTCTAGCGTCTTGCAAAGGTAACACACATTCGCTTACCACATAAGCCATTTATTAGTAATTTTATTTTTACACTGTTTCATCTGCTTTACAGGGGTACTTCTTCCCTTCCTCTACGTATAAACAATGTGCGTCATTCCAACGAAGGATTGTACAAGTGTATTGCAGACAACATCGTTGGCACAGACAGTATAAGCATTAATGTAACAGTGATATAATGTACTTCTCTTTACATTTCTGTGTGTTTTATATTATTCTTCTACACTTTATAATAAAAATCCTAAACAAAACTGTGGAGTTTTTTTGTTTATTACGCTTTCATTTAAAAGTGTCTTCTTGTGTGAGTTTGAGACTTACTAAGGCGAGATCACATCAACAGCCTATGATAGTCCACTGCTGGACATAGGCCTCTCCTAAGGCGAGATGAACCATAGATTATATTGACACAGTGTTCTTGGAAGAAACATTGATAAAGGTTTAAAAAATACATATCACAAGCCATTAATAAAATACGTCACACGAATTTCAGGGTTTTTCTAATCCCCATCCTTTTCACAGCTGGTCACATTTGTCCCTGGTCAACAGTTTCCGAAATTAATTTTTCATTCCATTTAAATTATTTTCAATAATTTTAACATTATGTAAATATTTACTAAAATCAACATTAAATCTCACTTCACTGACCTCCCTACTCCCCCTTTAGGTGTGACGTAATTTATGAATGATCCCTTAGCTGATAATAATATTTCTAAAGATAATTCAAGTCTGTCGTCAAATCCAACTGTACTTGTTAAGTATTGAAATAAGGATGTTTGAACTGGTTGATGAAGTAACCAAGCTTCAAAATTGAAGAAGAAATCAATCATCAAATATCCAACAAGTTATCATTTTTTTTAGTGCATTATTTCATATAAGGTTTTCTGGAGTCGGTGTTTATTTTGTGAAATATATTTTTATTTTGTTTATAAATGATCAGTAAGTTCCGTTGTAGCTATAAATACATTACATAATATATACATAAGTATTTGATATTATTTAAAACCAACAACAACAATCCCACCATAAACTTATTTCCCTAAAATTATTAACCATCTGATTGCAGTATGAAGAAGCTCCCTCATAGAAAAAAAAAAGTGCAAAGCTTTGCGGAGATGGTGTCCATCAATACTAATTTCAAATGTTCTTGGTCAATGGACAGTCTCCTATCGTATTTGTAAATTGGTTAAAATCCAAGGCCTAAATTACTTACAATAGCACTTTTTGTGTTTATTGAAACGCTTATTTTTTCAATAGCTTTGAGCATCAAATTCTTATATAATTGTGCACGTGGTTCTATTTTGTTTATTCAGGGATTCTTAATCATGTGGCTGATAAATGTTGTATTTATGATTACCTGTTGTTATACATTCACCAATACACCTGTGGGTAGGGCTCTAAAAATAAGAATCTCCTCACTATCCTGGCGTCGAGAAGAACTACTTCGGCATCAGCCCTTTAAAGTGTATATTAATGATATAGTATCATAATCATCTCCCTACCCTTCTGTCAATGTTATTTTGGGAGTGGTGTAATTTGTAACATTGCAAATTGCACCACTCCCGAAACATACCATTCAGAAAATATAAAGATGGTTATTAGGTCCTAGTGCTTAGTGCTTATGCATTAGGTTCTAGTTTATAACGTTTATACATGCCTTGTAAGCATCTACAACGTCTTGCCAAGTATCATTGATGTACTCTTTGTAATTAATGAGCTATGGGTGATTTACAATGACTGGACCACTGTTTCATATGCAGTCTTATTGCACGAGATCTAAAAGAAATGCGTTATAAATCATCATAATAATAATCCCAGTCCCATGAAATTACTCATACTCTTTAAGGTAAACGTCGTCGACAACATATTACTCATTTTCACATAACCACAAATATGTATATAAATAGTTAGACTACATCAATTTATTTATTACAGTTTAATTAGCCTAGTCGTTAAGTTGTTGGTTCAATTGGTCAATAGTTCCACGGGAAAACAAACAGTTGCAAAATGTGGGTGTGGTCCTACCCTCACCTAATATTGTTTATACTCGCAAGTATCTATAAGGTATCATGTCAAGAAAAATCAAGTTTAACATTTGTAATCGACAATACCTATTCAATGGCTGATGACATAGCGCAAGTGAAGGAGAATGTTAATGGGATATCTCAAATCGTGTTTGAGGAGAGAGCTAGTCAGATAAAAAATATGGTGTTAGTTACGTTTAATGACCCAGGTATTTATATTTCAATTGTTTCGTATTTGGTAATAGTTAAAATAATGTGTCTTATTTTTTTCCGTTTGCTTTAAATAAATATCAAACAAAACTTTCTCTCGTCTTTCCAAAACAAAGAGTCAACACAGGTCAATTTGGGCTCATAACTTGTTTGATCATTTCCAATACTACTAGAAGTCATAACTGTAGGTAAATTACAATGATGTGTGCTCATGTAAACCGTTCGTGCAACACGTACGTTAGGGGGATTTCTGTTTTAATTTATAAAATTATATTTATATTATATAAATTATCTTTCATTTCTTGACACTAACATTTATGGTTAGAAACTTAAGTGAGTTTGGAAAATCCCGACCACAGAAGTGAACTCAAATAATAATATCCATTTCAGCTGCAAGTTTGATGACAGTGACCGAGGATCGAAATTATTTTAAAGCGAAAATACACAGGGTAAATGTGCATGGAGGTGGTGATTGTCCTGAGATGTCAATGACGGGCATCCTAAAAGCATTAGACGCGAGTCTACCAGGGTCTTTTATTTACGTGTTCACTGATGCTTCGGCTAAGGATTACTATCTAAGCGGCCAAGTCAAAAACATGTGTCAAAAGAAACAGAGTCAAGTACATAAATATCAATAATTAAGTAAAATTTTTAAGTGATGATAAAAGGATTATAGCAAAGTATATGTGACCATTTTAATCAAATTTTCAGATAGTGTTCATTCTGACTGGCTTTTGTTACAGTCGTGATGAAGAAATGTACCAAGTGTATTACGACATAGCAACGGCATGCTCAGGATTAGCATTCAATGTGAACAAAAATGAAGTCAAGAAGGTATTTTATTTGATATTAAATTATCAAGTTGTTACATGATGTCAAGTTATTAGGTAGGTTAAGGAAAGACCGTTTTGGTTAGATGACATCGGTTTTTAATAAATATACATATACGCGTGATGATACTACGTCTTGAAAACAAGACTTGCACAGGAAGCTCGAGACAAATCTATCATCAGCATTTTAATTTCGTTTAGTTAAAGAAAACGGATGAGAGACGCTGGCATGTAGTATGTTAAGATGTCCATCTTAACATGCATACTACATGACAGCGTCTCTCTCTCTATGTCTGTCGTATGGTGTGGCTAGAATAGACAAGGTGAGGAATGACCACATTAGGGGAAATCTGAAAATAGCACCAGTGGATGAACGTTAAAGTTAAGAAGCAACATGTTATCCTGGGTTGCGGCATGTGTTGCGTAGAGATGAGCAAAATGTAGTGAAAAAGTTTTAAATATAGAAGTTCATGGATATAAGAGTTGAGTACGACTAAAGAAAAGATGAATAGACTGCGTGAAAGAAGATATAGTTAGAAAGGGAGAAAACAGTGAACTGACGAGTGATAGAGGAGAGGATGGAAGAAGAAAATCATTGCGCTGACTACAAATAAATTTGGAAGAAGGGTAAGAAGACAATATATTGCTAATAATGTTTATACATAGGTATATAATTATCTCCTCAGGTACTTGCTACTATAAAGGAAACTATAAAGGGCAATAAAGCAATGATAGTTGCGACGAAAACAAAACCTAACATTGTCGAAAACGTAACGGTAAGTACAAATATTTAATGTTTACTTACCTTTCTATGTAAGTAATTCTGTATATTGTTTTATTGGTAGCACCCAACTCGTCAAAAAAAATTAAGAAAATTAGATTAGAAATCAATTCTTACTTGTTTTTGACTATCAGAATATATGAGTAAATAAATAATAATATAAAAACAAATATTTGTATAAATGTTTATAGGTACCTGCATAAAAACATATTTTGATAGAGAAGAACTATGAATTGAATGTGTCTATCATAACTCTTGAACAATCTATTTTAAATATCTTATCTTTTTTCAATTATTTAATGCACATGACATCAGTATATTTTGCTTACACAATTTCTTTACACTCCGCTATTTCAGCCAATTTTAGCTATTTTCTCTTGAATTGTTTTATTCCGTGAACGTTCTTTTCTTTTAGTTTACACTTGATGATAAAATTGAATATGCAATTGTCTCAGCGTCTGGTCAGGACGTCAGCTTAAAAGTGAGTGGGCCAGGAGCAACACCGGAAACATTATTGTCTCTTAAGAATGTGAAGGTAAGATGTCAAAATTGAATCATCGAATAAATCTTCATTATCAAGCACAACTGTTAGATACAGATACCGACACCTTATAGATCCAAACCGTTTTATTCGTAGAAAAGAAATAGCTTAACATTGTGAACTGCGACTTTGATGACGAAAGAATCGTTCTTTAAATGAATATTTAAACGCCAATAAAGCAACATCAATAAATATAAGTTAATTTCTTTTTTCAAAATATTTCATAGCGCAAGATAAGATGGTATGTCTATTTAACTTTGCGTTTCTTAATATCATTACCATTATAAAATACTAGCTTCTGACCGAGGATCCGCCCGCGTGTATGTCAATTATCGCGGTAAAAAGTAGCCTATGTTACTCGCTGAGTACTTTTGAAAGCGGTTGAGTGATTTAGGCGTGAAAGCGTAACAAATTGTATATCTCTTATTATTTTAAGATTCTAGCAGATTTGTGAACGAATATTCTTTTTTTTTTGAAAAGACTATAGTCTTCCATATATATAAACGACCAATAAATCAATAAATTTGACCTTAAACAACTTTAATACACCCACTACTGCTTTGCATATATTAACCTTTTGTCTTATATAAATAGATTACTTTAAAAAACAATATTTTTAGCAGAGAGATTTAAGATATAAATTTGAAATGGTTAATTTTAGGTAATAAAACTTAGTGATCCCACTCCGGGCAAATACGTGGCGACGGTGAAAGGTAGTTCAGAGACAAGTGTAAACATTGTCGGTAGAACTGATTTTTTTTTCCAACATGGCTTCTCTGAACTTGAGCCAAAGTCTCTCAAAGATACTACACCACAACCCATCGCTAGTAAGTCCGTTTTCTTTATACTTTACATATCATACGCAAAAAAAAAAGTATGTAACTGGAAAATTTTGTGTAGATTCAAATCAAGAATAGGCAAATTTGTTAGTAGTTCATACAGGAGTGAATTACACATCTATTTAAGCATGTAATCGATGAGTATATTAAGCACTGATCCTATGAGATTCTTTAAACTCGTAAACAATTATTGAGCGTTCACTTTCAAGGCGATGTACTGACCTGGTGATAGCATCAGATCGATGTTGTTAACACTATGTAATTGCAAGAATATTATATGCTTATTTGAAATATCATTTAAATGAATCTCAGACCAAAGAAGTTATCCTCAAGATATCATTAGCGTTGTAAATTTTCAATCGGAACTACTACTACTGACTTCACGAGTGTGCCAATTCAATGTCGGCATTTATAATCAACAGCCTTAAATAGTCCACTGCTGGACATAGGCCTCTCCTTACAAAGGAGGTTTTGGCCTATTTTACCACGCTGGCCAGACGGGTTGGTATTAGGTTTGTGTCAAGTTTTCCTTCTCTCGGCAGTGCTGTTGTTCAGCGTAGTTTGCTCCTTTAGTCGCCTCTTACGACACCCACGGAAGGAATAGGGGTGTTAACACTCCTTATTCTTAATCGGTCACCACACGGACATTCCTAAATATAGATTAATATTTTCAGATACCCAAACGCTACTGTCGGTATCCGTGACCGATCCAAAACACACAGTTCATATAATAGCGGCTCAAATCTTAGATCTAAAAGACAGAATTGTCAATTCATTACTTCTGAGACAAATATCTAAGGATTTCTATACGACGCAGCCGTTTATAGCACCCACAAAGAGATTCAAAATTGCTGTAAGTTCATTTTATTACTTTTTGTTTTGATATCGTTATGAAATTCTGTTTTCTTAATTTCTTCAGTTTCCTTTTTATCAATACATTTATGTCAATAATGTTTTAGGTTCTAGCTAGAGATGTAAAAACTGGCAAGTATATAACGCGTATAGCGAAACTTTCAATCACACCTCAAGAACCCCCACGGGGTAAGTACAAAACAGACAGCTACCGTCCTCTAAGCATTTGCAACTAACTCCTACAATAACTTTTAATCTCTAATTCTCTTTTACTAGAAGGCTAATTGTTCATATCTGTGCTATTAAAAGAAACAGTGATGTTTTCAAATTGATTTGTAGGTATTGTATGTAATTTTACGCAATCTACAAAGAAAACAAAAAAATAGAGACACTGTTTACTAAATCTCAGTCAAATTCGATAATGTGTCTTGTAAAGTACATCTTATAATGTAAAAAAAATACAATTAAATAATATTTTATAAATAGTTGGCATCTATCCATCCAGTATGCCTGTTTGCTGCTGCAGAACATCGAGTTTTCTATGTGGGACGCGTACTTCTTACCCCATTTAAGCTTCCTGTTTTTTCCCGTCTGAAAAGGATTGCATTCCCAAGCAGAAATGATCTAGGCCATAAAAAAACAGTCAACACCATTTGCAATATTACCGCAATATTGCGCCAAACCCTAATAAAATTAAAAAAAGTTGGGGAATGATAAACTATTAAGTACAGTTTGAATTAAACAAACTTTAAAAAGTAATTTCACAAATGAAGATCTCATAAAACATTAAAATTTTTAGCGTAGTTTGAGTAATTAATTTGCAATATTATGTTTCAGTTCTACCCAAAAGCAAAGTACCCGAGGTAACTATAAGTGAAGGTAATACCATTGAGGCTACATACGGTCAAAGGTTGAAGCTGACCTGCAAAGTAACGGCTTATCCTGAGCCTGACATAGAGTGGTACAATGCGCGCTCAGTTCCAATAAAGTCTCAGGTGAGAATACAACACTCACATTGTGAGTTGTTTTCTTATACTTTTACGATGATTTCTAAACCCCTGACCATCATGAAGTTAATATAATATACCTAAATATGTTGCGGTCTATAGGCTAATATACCTACATATAGACCGTAACTTTTCGCCATCGTTCCACACGGCAAAAATTTTCATCTCCATCACTACTTAGGGATAACAACAGCTGCAATTCTTAACTAGGTAGTAAACTATGATTACATGAGTAGCCAATAAAAGTTATCCACGGTAGATACATAGAGTGGATGAATATGCTAATAAATATACATAATATTAAAACTGATTGGCAAACCTTGAAGAGATAGGTGTATTGATTTAAAATATGAAATATAATAAATAACTGAAATAAATAACACATACAATATGAGGGAAAAAATAAATTGAATAAATACATTCAAAACTTTCAATCATCTAGAAACCTATAAAACCAGGCATTCAGTGCAATGATGTTGAAATTTAACATTTTTTTAAGCCTATGATGATAGTAATTTAAGCGAAACTCGTTTTTTGAAATTGTCCTTAGAACCGATGAATATGTCCACACTATTAAAGTGTTTATTATAAGAGTCGAGTAAACGTGATATTACACCATTTCTACCGTAAGTAGTCGAGTGAAATGAAGTGCAAAATAGTCTAGTGCGTTTCTTGGGTACATTAAACTTAATATTATTTAAAAGCATAGGACAATCGATCCGTCCTTGCAAAATGTCATAGAGTAACCCATTATCCATCAGAATACGCCTTTCCTCGAGAGTTAGTAGATTGTAGATACGACAATTTTCTCTGTAATCATGTAAGCTATGATGAAATTTAAAATTAAGGTGATCTATAAACTTTTTCTGGATGCGCTCCAGACTGCCTTTGTGTATCATAAGAAAATTTCTGTCTGTCTGTCTGTCAATTTATATTATTGCATTTTAGAATTGAAATTAACAGAAAGTTAAATGAAGACAAAGAATGACACTTTTGTATAAAAATAATAATTAAGATGGTGAAATAAGGGTTATTGAAAGGTTATATTGTAGACTTTTTGGGGTTTCTCTAATTAAAATATAGTAGTACCTATATTATAAATTATTTCCAGAGATCGGTGGTAGAGCCTCCTTATAAGTATATTAGTTACTTAGAGATGTCAAGGGTCGTAAACAATGCAAGTTACACATGTCGTTCTCGAAACAATGAGGGAAACGGAAGTGCGGTAATAAACGTCATCGTCAAAGAGCCTTTTGTCGTTAAATCTGCTATTAAAGGTATTCCTCATTTTTTTTTAAATATTATAGGTAAACATAGTTTTTACATTACTTATTAAAAAGAATATTGGGAAAAAAAAAGTTTAACTAGGAAAGCTGAAATAAAATTATTAAAATCTTTAGCATTTGGAAAACATATTTTTTGGGTTAAATCTCCATTACTTGTCCACGAATATTAAACCTCATTTTCTAATGGTGCTTGTTCACGATGCAAGTATCTTGGGTTGAGTGTCTAGTGTTTGAGCATGTAATGCAAGCCACCAGCTACTTGCACGATTTTCAGCGAGCGCTAAACTTATTAACTCTTGTAGAATAATATTTTTAACAAATGATACTATAAGTATTCTCGTTCGTCAACCACTTGCTCCAGCTATTTACACCGTGTACAAGTACTTATCCTGGTAATTAACTGTTTCAAATCTGAAACAAGCAAGAACCAAACATGTAACTCGCGCGAGCAGCATGTACATTATATCCACAAAACGAGCAAGTAACTTGTGCATACAAACACCGCTATGCCGCGTTTTAGCCTCCAACCACTTGCACCCTAAACCATCACACTCATGGGTAAAATTAAATAGAGCATAACTTTTAAATAGTTTATAAAGCCACCGACTAATTTGGTACTTCATATTTATTATAATTTATAGGTATCACAAAAATAGAATATGGGACAAAGGGTGTACTTAGATGTGACATCACAGCTTCGGTACCAATGCGCATTCGTTGGTACTCTGTACTGGAGCAAGTAGGCGCTCGTCAGGAGCTTGTGACATCTGACAAGTACACTATATCCAATGATGGAACTACACTCACTATTAACAAAATGGACTTGTATATGGCCAAAACATACAGTTGCGAAGCATCTTTGGCTGAAAATGAACATATACGGTCGATTCATCGAACACAGGTCCAGATTAGTGGTTTGAGTAAGTGCTACTATTTGTAGATCTTAAAGTGACAGTTAATTACTATAACATTTATTCCGTGTGGTGACAGATTAAGAATACGGTGTGTCACTACCCCTATTCATCCCGTGGGTGTCGTAAGAGCTGACTAAGGAAGCAAACTACGCAAGACAAAAGCACTGCAAAGAGAAGGAAAACTTGAAACAAACCCTATACCAACCCGTCTGACTAGCGTGGTATAGTAGGCAAAAAACCTTCTTTGGATGGGACTACTGGGATGACTATAACATTCTTAATACATCATAAGATATATTTTGTTAGTGGTATGGGGGGCAAACGAGCAGACGGGTCACTGATGGCAAGTGACTACCACCGCCTGTGGATACCTGCAGTTCGGAGACACAAATATGTAGCCTCTGTCTAAGTGTCACATTTCTTGATTGCACGGATGGCGTAGTTGTTTAAGCGGTCACCTCGCCATTTCCTACTACGCTAAGTGTCGTGGGTTCGATCCCCACTTGGGACATCACTTTGTGTGAGCTAGAAATTGTTGTCCTGAGTCTGGGTGTTCTTTGTGTCCGTTTCATGTATGTTTGTAAAGTCCCCCGCGATACAGGACTATATTCGTAGTGCGGGAGTTGTTTTAGAAAAACAAATTAACGAGGAGAAGTTCCCTCTCATTCACTTACTCGCATAGGTATATATTATAATCTAAACCCTAACGCTCCTACACATATGTTTATCTAGTTCAGTCATGTTTGTAGATTGTCGTATGTTGTTATTATTTTATCCTTTTGTACTGTTTGTATTGTGGGTCACACATTATTGCTATCCTTGTAAACCCTTTCAGCTAATTTCTAGAATTATTTGTGGGTTTCCAAACTGCAAACAGCTAATCGCAATTATTCCAATTTCAGCGATGCCTCAAGTGACAGGCGATTATAACATAAAGGCAGTAAAAGGATCGTCTGTAGACATTACATGCCAGTAAGTTAAATATTTAAATATAAGTGGGCTTATAACATATACTTTATGCATGTCTAGGTACATTGTCTTCCTCGGTGGTTCCGTGGCAGCGTATGCGACTGCTGTGCTGAGGTTTCGGGTTAGATACCCGGGACCAAATGTTTGTATGTACTGCAAATATTTGTTTCGGAGTTTAGGTGTTTTCTAAGTATAATTTATACGTATTTACAAAAAAAAATAAGTATTCTATCACTCAATCTAGCTTTCATAGTACAAGCTCTGCTTAGTTTGAAACTAGATGGCGTTGTGTGTCAGATGTCCGAAATAATATTATTATTGATATAAAGTTTTTTTAATACACTTATTAAAGTTAGAAACGTCCATCTTTTTAATGGCATATCCCGAGGCAATCGAGCAGACGGGTCACCTGAAGAGTCACTAGTGCATTGCCGCCCTTTCAGTTCCTCTCACTAGAATCATGGGGGAGAGTTTGGGCGCCGGTATCCTTACTCACTCAGTGTGAAGCGACGAAAAACAAATTAACACTGATTTACTTTGAGGCCGTTGTGGCGACTTCCACTTACGGTGAAACAAAGAAACATACTACAACGTCATCTATCGAAGAGACACCGAACTACGGCGTAACTGCTAATCCTGTATCGCGATATTAACAATTCTCTCGCCTATTAGCATATTCACAAGTTCCCAACATCAACCGCGGCCGTGGCCCGCCAGGCTGATCACCTCGCCTGGTCGGAGGATTCTCCCTTTGTGTTGGAGGGTCATGACACCCATTTCACCACAGCCGTGGTATCAGTCCAGTCCGGTTCAGTTTTCGTAGTGACTACTGAAATGTTTTAATTATTTGCTAAGTGTCACACTGTATTTTGATAAGTAAAGAAGTCTGTTTTTATTTTATAAATCTCAACCAAAAATTAACGATACAAATGATAAATGATTTAAATGGTATCAGAATTTGACGGTATCATATATGTCCACGAAAGTAAAATTTCAAATTAAGTTTACATTTATTCGCAGCGTAACTGGCACGCCAGCACCGACAATAACTTGGTTATTTAAGGCCGAGGGTAATTCGGAGTTCGTGTCAATATACGGATCCCAGAACGTCCTGCATAAATCCAGGGTCGAGGATTATCACGCCGGCACTTACAAGTGTATAGCGCGCAATGTCCTCGGGGAACAGGACCATCAGACCACACTCCACGTTCTAAGTAAGCTTATTAGAGTTATAGAACTGTCCAAAAAGGAGTATTCATGTTTGTATGTCAGGTTATTTTTACCACCGAAACTTTCAAATATCTGAACAGATTTTAATATGCATCATTAGAATCATTTCATCCTCCCCAATAATGGCTATAAATATTATTACTTCATAGTGTATTTTTAAAATAATCTTTCCGTTTTAGAAACGATTAATTTGCCTAATTGTAACCGTAAAGTTTAGTTTACGAAGTATACGAGTATTATGTGACTCCAATTATGACCGCACCTTATCGTAACTCATAGAGTAATTTATTTCCTCATAAATACTAATCCTGGTTTTTGTCTGTGTATAGTTCCACCTAACATAGTCACAAGCTCTACCTCTGCTTACACGAGCGTGGAAGGGAAAGACGCTGTGATGAGTATCCCTTGCACTGCTACCGGTCTTCCTAAACCAGTTATCATATGGACGGTGGATGGTGCACGCATATCTGAAAGTAAGTCAACTATGAAACACATGTGTAATTCAGTTCGACCACAAATAAGTCCATACATGTTCAATATTTAGCTTTATTTTATTGACTGAATTGCATTTTATTACCAAGAACATTCTAATTTTCTGTGCCTGTTTGCTTTTATTTCTAATCATCAGATTAGTTCTACCTCTATACGTTTCTAAGTTGATAAATTTGTTGTTTCAGGTACGAAGCACTCCATAAAGGATGGCACTCTGATAATTCGGGAGCCAAAGGTGAGCGACACTGGCTCATACACGTGCGTGGCACAGAATGACGCTGGAGCCACTCGCGCATCCTTTCAAGCTAACATTTTTCGTAAGTAACATTTTTCAATACTCGTACCTGCTACCTGCAGACTTTATAATAAGAAACACTACAAGTTGAACTAAAATTTGTGAAGGTGAGTAACTTCTGCGACATTATTTTCTCATATGATGTCGCAGAAGATTAAAAGCAATCAGCCGTGCAAACTGCTGAGTGATTTTGTATAATCGTAGTAACAGCAAAAAAATATTAAAATATTATTTTGCTTTACTAATGACCAGTCTATAGGTATTGCCCATGGACTGGTCAGTAATCTATCGGATTTTCTTTAATTCTTCTTTAAAGTTTCCAGTTCATTCAACATAGGAAATGTACCTATTTAAATATTACTAGTTGTAAAAACAAATTAATGCCAATATACTACCTGCAAGAAGAAAATAATTATTATTAAATAAATATGTAAAATAGTTTTCATTTTCTTTTTTTTACATTTTCAGAGACGCCAGAAATATCGGGAGATAAGTCAAAAATAATAAAAAAGGGAGATTCCACAAAAATTAAATGCGAGTAAGTATAAGAAACATAATTTTCGCTTCCACGTCTTACATATTTTATTGGTATTAGGTATTTTAATGAAATGTTTCTTGCAGTATTGTCAAAGGTGTACCAAGACCATCGATAAAGTGGTACTTCAAAGCTCAAAGTTCCTCAGAATTTGTACCATTAACGGGAAGAACGGAAATGAACATAGAAAAGGCTGACAAAACCCACACCGGTACTTATAAGTGTGTAGCGCAGAATGTTATAGGCAGTAGCGAACATTTGACCGACCTCACTGTAGAATGTAAGCAGTAACATTGATTTATTATATACAATATAAACGAGTTAGTAAAATAATAACAGCTAATGATAATAATTTTGTTGAACAGTTGCACCTACTATACTTTCTGACGATTCAAGGACACTAACAGGCGTCGAAAGTGACGTAGCTTTACGAATTCCGTGCGACACAGACGGTGTGCCGACACCATCCATTACTTGGAAGGTGAACGGTGAAATTATCGTTACAAGTAAGTCTTACTATGCCATAATAATTTCATTACAAAAATAACATCACGGCAACCCTCTTTTCCCTTGACCTGTCCTGTCTCATTAATACATACGTTTTTACTCCTAGTTTGCTGAACCAGTATTATTAAATTTTAGTATTAAGATAAAAGGATTTTAGGGAAAGACGTAATTATAAGCTACGAGTATATATGTTGCGAAAATAATAATGGAAGGGGTGACATAGAGCATGAAAGTTTACATAAAAAACGATTTTTTACGTAAACTTCAACACCATTGAATCTTAAGAATGTTGTTCGTCAAAGAAGATAATGAGATGGGGGATACATTTTTTTCAAGTACTGACTGGCTATTGTATACCTTATCTATTTCTTAGGTTACATGAAGTCGCGGGCGCCTGCTAATATTTTGTTATCTTAAACCTAAGCTACTAAATTGTGTTTAAAGGATTTTGTTTCTGTTACAGGCGCAAAATATATTGTAAATGACGATGTATTAATCATAAACAAGCCGAACAAGACGGATTCGAACTCATACACGTGCGAGGCTAAGAACTACTTGGGACATGATAGTGCTACCTTTAAAGTTAATGTACAATGTAAGTGTACCTCTAATCTTTTTGTAATAAAAATCAATTCGTTAGTCTTACTAAAACTCGGTGACAGCTGGACCTATTTGGCTAATTTTGTCCAGGGAAAGTTTAAACGTCGAAAAAATATTCCGAAAATGCGAGGAAATTGTAAAAACTGGAGGAAAAGTTGAAATTGTAAATTGTTTTTTTTCCATACAAAATGCTCCTTCCTGTCCAGTCACTGAGACAAAAAATCAACATATTTTTATTGGTTTTCATAAATTTATGGGTGCTTTCAAAAATTTATTTTGCGACAAAACTTAGAAAGAGATGCCAAGCTACATAAAAAAATCGGAAATCAAAACTTTCTTTACATTTTATTTTGTGCGTCAATTGTATTTTTTTTGTAATTTAGACCTATTAATTCTCTTATTAAAAACTAAATATCAACATCATCCACTATTACGAGTATATCTATAAATGTAGGTGATACTAAATAAATGTCCGGTTAGCCGAGTCTTAAAAGTTTCCATCTAAAGACGAGACACAGATTCTGAGCAAATATATAATACATTAAATTTTTCGGTTTAAAAACGATCTTGATTAGTGTATTTCTTAGAAGCGGACAGTTCTCGTAGGGATTGGAGTCTGCTAGAATGTTCTTCTGACTTCGTCGATGAGTTCAGTTCAGTTCGAGCTACAGTGCGATAAACATGGAAGCGATTGAAGCGAATAGAAGTGTGACCAAGCGATCATTCCGGACTATTCTTCAGTGTTGTTGAACGTTGTTAAGTGCAGTCATAATAAAGTCTCTTTAGTCGTCAGAAGGTTTATTATTCCAAATCAACGAGGGCTATTCCCCCTGATAGATGATGAATTGATGATGATAATAAGGAAGAATGGGGAATGTTTGTTTTTAAAATTTTAAAATAAATAAAATTGTATCATCGATGTGGAACCATTTTCATTAACATAGGCTTTTTTTAAAACGTATTAGTATTTATTATTAGTTTATTTAGATAGCCGTTGTGCTCATTATTGAGAATTCAACTTGGTAAATCTAAGAAGTAGACTCTTCGAAAGATTAATGATAGACGATTTTTTTTCCATTCCAGCTTTTCTTGACGATTATGGACCCAAAGAGACAGTGAATGTATTACTCGGTAAAGAGGTAAAGCTTGAATGTGGATCAACTAATTCCACTCAATCGGTTACTTGGTACTTGGTAAGTAAAACTAATAATTCAAAGATAGGTAGATATCAGCAATCTGGTTGCCATATGATATATATACCATGACGGGCCTGTTTTCTGTTGGTCTAGTGGTTAGTGACCCTGACTGCCAAGCCGGTGGTCGTGGGTTCGATTCCCACCCAGGAATAATGTTGTGTAATGCGAACGGTCATTTGTTCTGTTTCTGGGTGTAGTTTATCTATAATATGTATGTATTAAAAAATATATAAGTATGTTTATCAGCAGTCAGGTTACCATAACATAAGCTCTGCCTAGTTTGGGATCAGACGACCGTGTGTGAGATGTGTGAGGTATATTATATTGTACAGGATCTGACTAGTTCCGGTCCAGACTGCCGTGTGTGTGACGTGTGAAGTTATTATTATTGTTATAAATGTTTACATTTTATTTTAAGGGTTCCTTACCTCCAAAGGTAAAAAAGGAACCCTTATAAGATCACTTTCTTGTCCGTCTGTCACCAGCGATTTTCTCAAAAACGAGGAGGACCTAGCAAGTTGAAATTTATACCAGATACTGAGGTCTATGGTCCCTATTAGGTGTATAAAAATCAAGGTCCTGAGTCAACACGATAAACTTTTTTATTTTTCAGAATTTTCTCTTTACTTGTCCTGTAAGACCATGCTTTTAATCAAAATTGCCAATTTTAGGTCAACCGGAACTATCCTATAGATTTTTAGGTCGAAAACCTATATGGTAGTTCCCGTTGACCTAGAATCACGAAATTGGGAAAAAAGAAACGTCTTACAGCACAAATAAATTAATAATTCCAAAAAATAATAAAAGTTGAAAATTAAGATAAATTTTGATACTTACAAATTTTCGCGAAAATCTACGTAAAATCTGGGTAGGGACGGAACCCTCGGCGCACGAGTTCGACTCGTACCTGACCGGTTTTCTCTTTTAGGAGGGTGAAAACACAGGCATCAAAGGAAACTACTACCACTTACGAAACGTGCAAATGTCTTCGGAGGGTAACTACACCTGCCGCGTGAGTGACGCGAGCGGAACCCGCACCAAAACGTACGTGCTTATCGTCGGCTACCCGCCCGTCTTCTCGGATTCTGAACCCGAGCCGCTGTACGACTGGAGCGGCAGTGAAAATGATGTCTTGGACTGCGAGGCTGAAGCCAAACCGGCAGCGATCGTAAGTTAACAACTGATAACTCTTAACATAAACAAAAATATGCTAATTCATTATTTTGGAGAGTAACTTTTAGTAGTGTTGAAATTCAACCCATAAGGTATTACTTATTTTAATAATAATAAAATTGCCTCAAAGAATTATAGTCAATTATTGACAGCACAAAACAAAAAGTACAAATGTCTGTTTAATTACTTAGAGGTAAAAAGGTATTGAATGTAGATAGTTTTCTCTTTCTTATCTCCTTAACGTGTTTTAAACACCACAATATAAGGCAAACATACATTTTAGTTCACGTGGACGTATAACGGCAAATTGCTGCAAGGGATGAACTCATCCAGGGCAGATGTGGCCGCCAACTGGGGACACTACACATGTAATGTGAGCAACGTTCACGGCACTATCGCAAGGAGTTTCGATGTCATTTCTTCTCGTAAGTAGTCACTTTAGTACTAGAAGCCATAACAGCATACATATTTTACAAACTGTGTTTTGATTTTACTCACGCGTACTAGAGATAAGTATATTGCCGTGTTTAGATATACGTGTTACGTGTCATGGCCCTCCAACATAAAGTAAGGATCCTCCGATCAGGCGATGTGTTCATGTCCGATACCAAGGACTTACAGAAAAACTGTTAAGCAATTCTTTCCTTGCTATTCACCAAGTGCGTCAGGTTAAAGGAGGCCCAACCTTCCGCTTCTCCCACACCTAATACGGGAGCTTGGAGGGGGCTGTCTAAGGTGAGGCAACGCTGTGGTGGGATATGTCAGGCCTAATAAATAAAGTATACTGCAACAGACTGTTAAAAATATCCTATTTCTGCGATACAGAGTGAACGAATTTTAGTAGCACGATCAGCGTCATCGAATATTAGTAAGAATTGTTTGTTACAATTAATTTGATTAAATTAAGTCTAATCTGTGTGATCTAATCTTGAACCTCAAATCGTATTGTAATTATAATAAACTGCTCAAGAAATTAATATAGATTCTCGATACTTCATTACATTCCAATTCCAATGATTTTACATAACACTTTTTTTCCAGATTGTCTCATAAGCAGGAAACCCGAAAATATCAAAGCTATGCCTCTTATATTGAGTCCAACATCAACTTTTCCTGCGCTGAGTGGAACCACTAATTACTTAATAGTCGAGCCTGGAGAAACAGTCAAATTTTCTTGTCCTAACGCTAAACACAAAATAAAAAACGAAACTGAGGCAATCTGTGACAAACAAGATATATTCACAGTTCAAGGTATACCTCACAAGGTTTCAGATTTACAATGTGCTGAAGAAAGTGATTTTATCATAAAAAATAGACACATAAAATGTTTGTCAGAAACATCTGAATTAATACGTGTCGGCTTCGAAGTTCACGGTTTCTTAGAAACATACGAAGTCTGCTTTGATGTTTCTAAGAGGATACCTCTGTTCACCCGTGCTGTCATGTCGAAAACCAGCGGGGGGCCTGGGACCACGTACAACTGGAAAAAGTACCCTGAAACTGTGGTGGGTACGGAGGACAAGACACTATACACTTGCGAAAATTCAATGTCAACGAACTGCTACAGTAAGACACAGTTGGTGAATGTTCGTGATTTTGTTGACGGTCCTGCGCAGAGGAGTACTTTCATAGATCCATTGAACGCAGTCCCATGTTGGCGTCCTAGCAACATGGCACAGGTAAAGTTTATTTATTTGTGACAGCCAGTAGTTGTTACATTTTTACTAAAATCTAAAGCATACGTCTATTATATTGGGATTAATGCACAACATTTTAAGGCGTCACATCATGCCTATTATGGTAACACTTTATCTAACTAAAAATAGGAGAACGTCAATGCGAGATTAACAATAAATTGAACAAAACTAAACAAACTACAATTAACAAGATTTTTACTATTATATAATTCTTGTCCGAGACCTCTTAACTTGAATTATTTGTTAAGCCTAACTAACTTAAGTTAGTACTAAATATCTGGACCACATCAACAGCCTTTAATAATCCACTGCTTTACATAGGCCTCTCCTTAGAAAGGAGGTTACCTTTTGGTCGGTATAGGATTTGTGTCAAGTTTTCCTCCTCTTTTTCCCTATTCATTCCGATACCCACTTGATGAATAGGGGTGTTGATACTCCATATTCTTAATCCGTTATCACACGGACTCTAATGTCTAGATATCCGAACTACGTCTGTATTATAGGCAATACACAACTACAGGCTCTTTCAAATTTGGAATTAGACGGGCGCACGTAAAGTGGTAATTGTAGTATTGAAAGCTTATGTTTGTTTTCAGTCTCCATGGGACAGTATAGAGTCTGTGATCAGAACGCGGCTCAACATATTTGACGAGTTCATCGCCTGGTCTGGTACTCATACGGTAGAAAAGATGAATGGTGGTGTTATTCCGCGTTATCTATGGAAGGTAAAGTTTAGAATTAAATATAACGATTAAAAATACTTTGTGCTACTATGAAACTACATACAAGAGCGCAGTAGCGGTTTTAAGAACATAAAAAGCTTCAAAATTATTTGTTTTTTTTTGTATTGAGGGCAAACGGGCAGGTAGGTCAATAGTAACCTGTCATTAACTTTTTAGTGGTGGTAAGACAGCCACAGTGGTAGAAAACATTAAATATGTAATAGTCGTAGATAACAGATCTCGCGTTACGGGATCAGTTGGTAGCCAAGTAAACAATTTAAGGTCACCTCCATTGTCTTGTTGAGATTAGTTAATAGTTATTTACTTCTGGTTGCATATTTTTTTTATTAAAAGTGCTCTTAACCATAGAACTCTAGTTTTATAATTATCTTAGTTAGTTTATTACCCACAAATTCGCGCGTTGGAGCATTTTAAAATAATCCTTTGGATTTATCCTAAAAAACGCAAGATTATGGAAGCACTGTTCCTGGACACAAGGACGGTGTGGCTTTTGTGCAAGGTCCAAAGACAGAAAAACTAGGACAACGTACCAAAAGTGTAAGATGCTTAGAGCATCAAATAGAAAAGTGTACAAAGTGTTCATACTAAAACTTATTAAGGCTGATTTGTAGTCTCAAGTTCCTAGTTATTTATAAAAAAATACATCTTTTCATAAATGGTTTTTTATTTTAAGAATCAGAGATATTTTAGTATGGGGTAGGTACTCCAGTACTCCAGAATAGGCAAAACATGTGCTCTATATACTATAGGGTTCTAGGCTTAATTTAATAATACGTACTGAAAAATAATTACAAAAAATATTAATTCAAACTATGAATAACACGCGTGTGCTGGTTTGGTAACTTCATCACATCACACATCAACAGCCTTTACTAGTCCACTGCTGGACATAGGCCTCTCCTTAGAAACGAGGTTTTGGCCTACTATACCACGCTGGCCAGACGGGTTGGTATAGGGTTTTCCGCCACCGGTGGCAACGGCCTCCACAAAGAGGCCGCGGAAGCTGCAGCCGCCCAAAACCGCGGCTGTAGTTGTGACCGTGTCACCGGAGGCGGCTGACGGCGGGCTGTCCTACGCGGCCGTGTTTAAAAAGGCCCGGGACAGCCTCGCCAACGACTTTGGGACGGCGGGGGTGAAGATGCGCCTCGCCCAAACGGGAGCTCGAGTTCTCGAGTTCCCAGGGGCTGAAGGCGCCAAGACGGCGGACACTTTCGCTGAGAGGCTGCGGGGTCTATTCGCGACCACAGATGGTGTCAAGATCGCCAGGCCTATCAAGTGCGCGGAGCTGCGCATCTCGGGCCTGGACGACTCTGTGACGGCCGAAGATGTCCGCGCTGTAATCCGGGAGAAGACGGGGTGCAGCGCGGACAACGTCAGGGTCGGCACCATCCGCCCCGGTCCAGGAGGGCTTGGCGCCGTGTGGGTCAGCTGTCCCGTAGCGTCGGCCAAAGTATTGGCCGACGCCGGCAGGCTGCTCGTCGGTTTCGTGAGCGCCAGGATCACAGTCCTGGCGGCGAGACCGATGAGATGTTACAAATGCCTAGCATCGGGGCACACGCGCGTCAAGTGCCAAAGCTGCTTCGACTGCAGCGGACTTTGTTTCCGCTGTGGTCGACCGGGGCATGTGGCGGTGGAATGCTCTGCCGCCCCTCACTGCCCGGTGTGTGCGGCGGGTAACAAGCCCGCCAATCACCAGATGGGGCAGGGGGGCTGCAAGCCTCCCCGCATCTCTCAGCAAGCATCGGGGGCTAGCCAGTCGACCCAGGCTGCCTCCGACGTAGTTCGTGCGTCGACGTCGTCGCCCATGGAGGAGGCTGTAGAGACGATCCAGTAATGGATCGGGTCTCCAGCCTCCTGGTCCAGACGAACCTGAACCACTGTGCCGCGGCGCAGGATCTCTTCCTGCAAACCATGGCACAGTGGTCGATAGGTGTTGCCGTAGTCGCGGAGCCCTATTCTGTCCCTCCCCGTCCAAACTGGATGGGTGATTGGGACGGCTCCGTGGCAGTCGTCGGTTCCACGACGGCTCATTCCCCGCCCTTGTCGCTAAGAGACAAGGGCACTGGATATGTTGCCGTCGAGTGGGGGGGGATCACCATATATGGTGTCTATTTCTCCCCCAACCGGAGTTTGAACGACTTCGAGGTTTTCCTGACCAGCTTGGAGACCTCGATACGGCGACTAGCGTCTGGGCACGTCCTTGTGCTGGGGGACTTCAACGCAAAGTCCATTGCGTGGGGTTCCCCCAGGACGGACGCCAGGGGCGAGGCCGTAGAGGAGTGGGCGGCCTCGGTGGGCCTCTGTCTTCTAAACAGAGGCTCCACCAACACGTGCGTGCGACAGCAGGGGGGGTCGATAGTGGACCTCTCGTTCGCTACCCCTGCCCTCGCCGCACGAGTAAGGAACTGGTGTGTCCTGGAAGAGGTTGAGACGCTCTCGGATCACCTGTACATCCGATTTGAGCTCTCCCGGACCCAGGACTCCAGTAGGGGTCACGTGGCGCGGCGTTTATCCCGCTTTCCGCGGTGGGCTGTTGCCAGGCTGAACCGGGACCTACTAGAGGAGGCAGCCATAATTCACTCGTGGCTGTCTCCTCAGGCTCCGACCGAGGAGGTCGACGTGGGGGCTGGCCGCTTTCGCGATGCGATTACGCATGTATGCGATGCGGCCATGCCCCGCGTTCGAGGTCGTCGGCCTCCAAGGAAGGAGGTCTACTGGTGGTCCCAGGAGCTGGCGGACCTCCGTGCGGCCTGTACACGTGCCCGGAGGTCCTACACACGCAGTCGGCGGCGTCACCGTGGAGACGGTGAGGAGGACCGGCTTCATGAGGAGTACCGACGGGCGCGGAAAACTCTGAAGCTGGCCATTAGCCGCGCCAAAGAGGAAAAGAGACAGGAGATGCTGGAGGGTCTTAATCGTGACCCCTGGGGTCGCCCTTACCGCGCGGTGCGACAAAAGCTCCGCGCGTCGGGCCCCCCCCTTACGGAGACTCTCCAGCCCAGCTTCCTGCGAGAAGTGGTTGAGGGCCTTTTCCCACAACGAGCGGAACACACTCCCCCGTCGATGGCCTCCCTGGCCGGAGACGACGGGGAGCACGGGGAGGACAATGTTCCGCCCGTCCGGGATTCGGAGGTAGGGGCGGCTGTTCTACGGATCCGTTCCAAGAACACCGCCCCTGGGCCAGACGGGGTACCGGCCCGAGTGCTGGCCCTGGCCCTCAACCACATGGCAGACCGCCTCGGGGAGGTGTTCGACGCTAGCTTGGCGTCGGGACGCTTCCCTGAGTGCTGGAAGAGCGGGAAGCTGGTCCTATTAAGGAAGCCGGGACGGCCTGCCGATTCGGTCGCGGCCTATAGGCCCATCGTGCTGCTGGACGAGGCGGGCAAATTGTTTGAGAGGGTTCTTTCTGCCCGCATCGTCCGGCACCTCTGCGAGGTGGGCCCCGATCTGTCGGACGCCCAATTTGGTTTTCGGGCGGGGCGTTCGACGGTCGACGGCCGTGTTGCGCCTGAGGGCCGTGACCGAAGAGGCCGTGAGCTGTGGCGGCGTGCTGTTGGCGGTGTCACTGGACATCGCCAACGCATTCAATAGTCTGCCATTCAGCTGCATCAGGGAAGCACTCCACTATCATGGGGTGCCAAAGTACCTGAGGCGGCTGGTGGCAGACTATTTAGAGGAGCGTACCGTCGTGTACGAGGACCGAGAAGGTAATCTGAGGTGTCGGCCCATGTCGTGCGGTGTTCCACAGGGGTCTGTTCTTGGACCCCTCTTGTGGAACATAGGGTACGACTGGGCCCTTCGCGCCGATTTCCCCCCCGGGCTGGGTGTAATCTGTTACGCAGACGATACCCTCGTGACAGCCCGGGGGGCAAACTTCCAAGAGGCGGCGCGCCTGGCCACAGGGGGAGTCTCCCTGGTGGTCGGGCGCATTGAGGCGCTGGGCTTACGGGTGGCCCTAGATAAGACGGAGGCCCTGTTATTCCATGGGCCCCGTCGTGGTCCACCCCCTGGCGCCTCCATCGTGGTCAACTCGGTCCTCGTACCGGTTCGGGCCCAGATGAAATATCTGGGCCTGATCCTCGACGGGAGGTGGCTCTTCGACGAGCACTTCCGACAGCTTGCTCCAAAGCTGGTCGGCGCTGCGTCTGCCCTAGGGCGACTCTTGCCCAATATGGGTGGACCCAGCGTCGCGACAAGACGGCTGTACACGGGGGTTGTCCGGTCAATGGCACTGTACGGTGCACCGGTGTGGGCGGCGGCTCTGACCGCCCAGAATAGGGTACGCCTCTGGCGCCCTCAGAGGGTAATGGCGGTCAGAGCCATACGCGGTTACCGCACCGTTTCGACGGAGGTGGCATGCGCATTGGCCGGAACTCCCCCGTGGGATTTGGAGGCGGAAGTGCTCGCCGAAGTTTATCGGCGAGTGGCTGACTACCGGGCCACGAGCCACGATGGCTCGTTGGTCGTTCCGGCTGGAGACTCCACGCGCTGGCTTCGCCGCCGTGGAGGCTCTCCAGCCGGTCATCGCCGAGTGGGCAGGGCGGCAGCACGGGACCCTTTCCTTCCGACTGACGCAGGTGCTTTCCGGGCACGGTTGCTTCGGAAGGTACCTGCACACGGTCGCTAGGAGGGAACTGAGTCCCGCCTGCCACCACTGCGACTGCAGTGAGGACTCGGCCCAGCACACGCTGGCGGTCTGCCCCGCATGGGCGGCGCAGCGCCGGGCCCTCACTGCAGTCATCGGAGTGGATCTCTCGCTACCGGCCGTAGTACGCTCCATGGCCGGTAGCGACAGTTGTTTTACCGCGGTCGCAACCTTCTGCGAGGTAGTAATCTCGCGGAAGGAGGCGGCGGAGAGGGCCCGGGAGGACGACCTCCACTCGGACCCGATCCACCGCCGGCGAACCGGGCGGCGGAGGCCCGCCTATCACAGCCTCATGCCGCCCTGAGTGTGGCCGCGGGTGGACGGGGTGGGTTTCCCCTCCACCCGCATTAGTTTGGCCAGCCGCGAGGGGGCGGCGTCCGCGTGTGCCGGACGTCGCCTAAAGAGAGGAACAAAAACATCAAGACGGAGCCCGCACCAGGAGCGGGCTGGCGCTAGGAGGGGTCCGGATGTCTTAACAACAGCTGTTCCCGGATCCCTCCTGTTACAGGCGCAGAGTGGCACACCGTGTGGTTTTAGTCGGTCCGAGTCCGACACACCACCCCGCCGCAAACCCTGGAGGGGTGACGGTCCGAGGGGATTTCCACACGTTAAAAAAAAAAAAAAAAAAAAAGGGTTTGTGACAAGTTTTCCCTCTTTTTGCGGGCTTTTTGCGGTGTCCTGCGTTGTTTTCCGCCCTTAGTCGGCTCTTACGACACCATTCGACACCCACGGGATGAATTGGGGTAGTGACATTCCGTATTCTTAATCCGTCACTACACGGATAACTTGGCAACTTATTGGACTAAAAATAAATAGATGCAAATATAGCTAAGTCGGCAACAAACTTCAGCGTACTTCATTGTACTACACACCACGCAGCAACTCTGCACTCTGTAGTACTGCACTTCAACCATGCTTTGCTTCGGAAACCATACCGCAGTTATTCAGGCTGACTTTTAAGCGGCAACTGATATTTTTTCTTATTCACCCTAGGTGTTAAGGTTTGATGAAGATCAGTCCATCGCTATTGTTTACGTGAATGGTCCATCGCCTTCTACAGAGGATATTTTATGCAAGAACACGTGTCCCGATAAGCAGAGCGTGCCGTGGTTCAATGAAATCAACAGTTACATATACTGCTGCGAATTGGACGACTTCCTTCGATCATTTAATTTGCGCGACACAACAGTTGGAGGCTAGTGAATTTTTATGTCTTTTGTGAAATTAACCAAATAAAGCAACAAAAAAAAATCTAATCCTAACTTTAATATTTGAATTTCAAATTTTAGTTTGTTTATTTTTAAAACTTTATATCTAACCTTGCATAATTTCAGGAAAACAAACAAGGTGCACGAATACCTTCAAGCTTATTTAATATACGTAAATTCTTAAAAATTTGTCATTGATTCCTATCAATCAAGTCAAAGCAGTTGAATTAAAATACATTAATCATTCAATAAACTTCCTTGCCTTTTTCATGTTTATTTGCTAGTGTTCTTAATTAGAATCTTTCCGGAATCTCGTTACTAATTATTGTAGGACTAATGTGGTCGCTATTATGTATTTTAGAATCAATGGAAGCGGCGCTTGAAAAGATAATGTCGAAAAAATACTAAGTTGGAAGTGTTCATCACAAACATTTTAGTGAGATGCTCGGTTATTACTGTTAATACTACCCCCTTCTTACGCTTTACCACGTCGTATACCTACTGTTTAAAGGACACCACTTATTTGAAAGAAGAGAAGATATTTTACAGTAATATTTACTTACAGAACATGTGAATCCTGTACATCACTTATTTCATTACGTCGTAGTAATGTTTTAATTATGACCTAGTGATCAAGTATAAGCAATGAATAAATTTAATAAAAAAACAAAAATTTTTAGTTTTCATTATTATTAACCCTTTTTCTAGCAAAACCTATAACGGGTATAGACAAGGACCTTCTCTGAGTACAAGAAGGTATACCGTTCAGAAGGCTTCCGTTAAACAAATACTAATTAGAGAAAAGACAATTTGGAGTAAGTAGATATATCTGGAGTAAGAAATTACATTCTTCAGACGGAGTTTTATTAAAGTGTGCAAAATATAAGTCAAGGTCAACTAGAACAGTATTGCAAGGAAGTTTAATAGGAAATATCATTATCACATCACATCAACAGCCTTTAATAGTCCAGTGCTAGACATAGGCCTCTCCTTAGAAAGGAGGTTTTGGAATTGGTATAGAGTTTGTGTCAAGTTTTCCTTCTCTCTGCAGTACTGTTGTTCTGCGTAGTTTTCTCCCTTAGTCGACTCTTACGACACCCACGGGATGAATAGGGGTGGTGACACTCTGTATTTTTAATCCGTCGCAACACGGACCATAGGAAATATACCTATCCTGTAACACTACAACCTTTCATTGTAAATCATCAAAATAACACAGAGTGGTTAAACTTATCTACTCAATGTTAATTTCTCTTACATTAATGAAATATGTTTTTGATACACAAAAATGTTTGAATAGTAGCTGAACTCGTGGAGCTAGAACTTGTTTCAATTTGTAGGTATATATGTGAGATTAAAGTACCTAGTGTCAAACTATACCTACTATATATAGAACTAGCTGAGACCCGCGGTGTTACCCGCGTTTGTTCTTATAACCGCGGGCAACGCCGCGGGGCGAAGTTAGTCTAAAAAAAGTAGCCTAAGTTACTCCTTATGTCATCAGCTATCTGCCACTGAAAGTCCCGTCGAAATCGGTCCAGCCGTTCCAGAGATTACCCGGAACAAACAGACAGACAGATAGACAGACAGACAAAAATTGTAAAAAATGTTATTTTGGCATACGTACCGTGTAAACATACAAATCCATTTACTAAAAAGCGGTTATTTTAATATTACAAACAGACACTCCAATTTTATTTATTTGTATAGATATGGTTATATATAGTATTTAATATGTAGAAATTATAATACATAAATAGTATATTTTTGTAGTATAAACTACATGTGGTTAAAATAGGTCTTTCCCTATGAAGTTAAACATTTTAAAACTAGCATTTTCATAATTGAATTATCTGTAGATTGGCGCGCAGTTCGAAATTTAAATAAATTTTATTCCAAAACCATGTTATTTTAATTAAAAATTCAGTCATTTGTTTTAGATAATGTTTTGTTTTCGTGAAATTGTGGTAGTTTTTGGCGCTATTTACGAATATGACTTCCTACGTGGAAATATCGCTGCGCAAACAACACCAAACATTAAAGACGTGTACCTACATTTAGATCTGGCAATAGGAGTTAAGTTGAAGAACGAGTCTCGCGGTCGGCAGGCAACTATAGTCGACAACAATGAATTGAAGGCGATAGTGGAAGCGGACCCAACTCAATACTCAATACATTTATTGCGTTATATAGATGATAGTGATATAGATGTCAAGCTTATAATTAGGTTACAATTATGGACCCTGTCAGGCACAATGTTAGCAGAGAGGAAGTATTACAATTATTATTATTAGCTTAATAACTCGATCTACGGCTGAGCTTGCTGCGGGTTTTGGAGTTAGTGTCAAAACAACATGGAAGCAGGTGCGTCCAAATGGAAAAATAAAAAAGCTAGATAAGTGGGTGCCACACGAACTAAGCTACCATAGTAAGCCTTACGCGTCGCTACAAGAGTTACAGATGGAAGCTCTCCGTCACCCACGGTACTTACCGAACCTTGCCCCAACAGCTTTCTTCAAAATCTAGACAATTTTTCAAGTGGGCAAAAATTCGACATCCGAGAGTTAGTACAAAACGCTTTCGCTGACTTCATCACCTCCCGTCCAGTAGACTTATATGGGATAAACGAACTGCCATGAAAATGATAAAATGGTTTAGATAATTTGAGCCACTACTTTAATTAGCTGAAATCAAATAAATAACCAAATTTTTTATCTTTTATAATTTTCATGCTAATTCCCAGGTTCGTAGGTAAAGATTTAATGTTTTTCAGGAAATTTGACCTGCAAGGCCTTGTTCAAAGACAACTCATCGAGCTTCTAGTTTTTATCTTTTGTCTTTGTCTTTTTGGTATCCTGAATGGTTTTGGAGGCTTTTGTCATGAAACCGCCTACTTTTCTTCTCCTTCATCGGGCGTAGCACCTCCATGTAAATATTTCCACAAAGAAAACCAATTAACCGATCAGGGCCTAGTAGCATTAATTGAAGATTAATATTCATCAAATAAAAATTAATGCATTTTTTACCGCTGTTTCTGGTTAATATTGTTTTAAATATGTATGTTACGAGCTTGAGTGTAAAAAAAAAAACACAGCTAGTAACATAAAACATAAAAAAAAATCCTTGAATAGAAACAACCTTTCTTCTCGAAAACTAGATTTAGATATTGATTTCCTAACTCCGCAGCGTCCCTCTGTACAACAATCAGATTTAGATACTAATATGGAATTTATACACTCTGGTGAAGCACAGATTGACAAACCTTTCATTTTATCTTCAAAAGAGGTCCAAAATAAAACCCTTAAATCACAGGTAAAAAAACAGGTGAACGAGAATATAGGCTCACATTCAAAGACCTCTACCCTCAAACATGGACAAATTATCCTGCTATCTGATAACCAAGGAGCAGGAATAGCTCAGAAACTAATACGTTATCAACATAAACTAATTCTGAATAAATACAAAATTTTCTCAATAACAAAACCCTTTGCAACAACAGAGAATGTTTTATCTAGCTGTAATGTTTTATCACAAAAATTAACCAAGAGAGATAGCGTCATCATAATGAGCGGTAGTAATGACTCCAATCCGCTTAAATTTCAAAGTGAAGTCTCTGCTGCGCTTAAGCTATTTGAAAATTGTAATGTATACATCGTTAATGTTCTTCACAATGCATTTCTGAATGACAGAAAAATTAATTATAGTATTCGACTGTTGACTCAGAATTTCAAAAATTGCTCATTTGTAGAGGGCCGTAATAGTCACGAAATTGTACAACGAATCATTTACAAAATAAATTTAACACAATATACGCTAAATTATTTGTCATATAACAGCAAAACCTTTAAAATTGCCGCAACCTCTAAGAGGGATACAACTTCTTATATTTGTCAAAACAAACTTCAAACCATCAATTCATTTCATTCAATAAAATCTAGTTATAGTATTAATAATCAATCACACAAGGGTTTAATCACCTACTATTTTCATGCTGTAGGAAAACCTAAAGTATGTACTAAGTCTCAACCGCGTAAGGGTACAATTCCCTACTACTTTCAGGCTGTAGAAAAACCAAAGATGCGGGACAATAACAAAAAAGAGTTTTTTCGTAAACAATAGTAGTGATACCTTCTCGGTTTTTCATCAAAATATTGCTGGAGCTCTGAATAAACTCCAAGATCTTGAGATGGCTATTCATGAACTTAACGAATCAGGTTTAAACATTGAAGTTGTTTGTTTAAGTGAACATTTTATAAGTGAAGGTGAGGAAAATTATATGTTGTTGAATGGGTATAAGCTTGTAGCATTTTACTGTCGAAAACAACGTCGAGGTGGCACTTGTATACTTTGCAAAAATAGGTATCAGTGCACTGAAATAACTGAGATTAAAAATATGAGTATTGAGAAACAATTCGAAATATGTGGTGTTGAAATTAAAAACAGTAACGTTGTTGTAATGCGTGTATACAGAACTCCGAACTCAAACATAAACATATTTTTTGAAAACTTTGAAAAATTGCTTATAAAAATACAACATAAAAAATGTAAAGTTGTAATTGCTGGGGACTTTAATATTATTTTTTTGCAAAATGATAGTAATAGCATTAAATATAATGAACTCATCTTTAATTATGGTATGCAATGTCATATTACCGAGCCGACACGAGCAAATAAATGCATTGACAATATTGTTAGCAATATTCCAACAGCGATTGGAAAAACACATAACCTTTGTCTATCAGATCACAATACTGCTCAAGTTTTGGGATTCAAGTGTCAAAGTATTAATGCCATAGCACATTATTTTGTAAATAAAACTGATCTTAGTAAAGAAAATATAAATAAATTTGTTGAATGTATAAGTGGTTTGTCCTTTTCAGAAATATATGAAGTTTCTCAAGCCAATACTGCGTTTGATAGGTTTCATAATTTATTAATACTATTTTATAAGCTATGTTTCCCTATCATTAAAGTTAAAAAAATCTACAAAAGTAATAATATAAAATGGCTAACTAAGGGACTTAAAATTTGCAGCAAAAATAAGAGAAAACTAAGATTTGCATACTACAACAATAGAACTGTCGAGAATAAAAATAAATTTAAAACGTATTCAAAAATACTAAGAAAGTGCATTAATCAATTACAATCAATCAGTCACAAAAAGTATATTGCCTACTCTAGTAACAAGTGTAAAGCTACTTGGAATGTTGTTAAACGCAATATTGGTAACCAACCATCCCAGGCATGTATCGATAGGATTGTTAACAATAACGCTACAATAGTTTCGGGACCCCATATAGCTAATGTATTAAATAATTACTTTATTGAAATTGTAGAAAAGAATATAATACAAAATGAGAAAATCACTTCCACTTGCATCAACTGTAATAATTTAAATAATAATAACAATGAACATAGTATATTTTTAGAACCCACAAATGCAATAGAAGTCTACAATATAATTAAATCACTGAAAAACACTAAATCGTCAGGCCATGATGATTTCACCACAGAACTAATTAAACCCATATCTCAGTTCATATCAGAACCATTAGCGTACATAATAAATTTATCACTTGAACAAGGCTGTTTTCCAGAGAACTTGAAGCTATCTATAATAAGACCTTTACACAAAAGAGGTTCCAGAACTGATAAAAATAACTATAGGCCAATAGCCCTAACCTCTATTTTTTCTAAAATTTTTGAAAAGGTAGTGAATAAAAGGGTGATTAGTTTTTATAATAATGACGTATTGCGTATGACGTATTGGCTAAAGAACAATTTGGGTTTCGAAAGGGTAAATCTACTCACCATGCAATATTTTCTCTAATAAAATCTATAATTAACAACATAAATAAAAAAATACCATCTTTTTTAATCTTTACTAATTCAAAAACTGGATAAAACTGGCGTAAGAGGTATAGCCTTACAATGGATATATTCATATTTAAGCAAACGAAGACAAATTACAAGAATAACCAAATTCAATAGTGGCACTAATTGTTTACAATATTTCGATTCGGAACCTAGGTTTAACTATTACGGAGTATCGCAAGGGAGTATTTTGGGGCCACTACTATTTCTTATTTACATCAATGATCTCCCTCAAGCAATGCAAAATCGCAAATCTGTGCTATTTGCAGACGATACTACAGTGTTAATAAGTGGTAATAATTTAAATTCATGTGAACATGAAGTAAATGAGACACTTCAGAATATCATCAAATGGCTTGATACGAATCATTTAAAAATTAATATAGATAAAACAAAACTTATTCATTTCAGAACAGTAAAAACAAAACAATTTGATATTTCAGTTAAATTTAATGATCAAGAAATAGAACAAATACAGAGCACAAAATTTCTAGGTGTTACAGTGGACGAACATCTGACGTGGAAGTATCACATAGAAAACGTTTGCAAAAAGATGAATAACTTTGTGTTTGCATTAAAAAACTCAAAGAGGTTGCTTCAAGGGAGACTGCTTTAATGGTCTACCATGCATATGTTTGCTCCATAATTCGTTACGGCATTATTGTTTGGGGTTACTCATCAGAAATAACGCGAGTATTTTTAGCACAAAAGAAATCGCTTCGTGCAATATTCGGTTTGAAATGGACAGATTCATGCAGGCCTGTCTTTGTATCTCATAATCTGTTGACCGTCCCTGGCATATTCATCTATGAAGTAGCTAAATTCGTGAAGTGCAATAAAGAGCTCTTTGAAGTTAAGGACAATACCAACAAACGTAAAAATACTCACTCGTATTTAAAATTACCAGTACCTCGCCTAGAAATTTTTAGGGTGAGCTGTGTTTACATGGCACCACTTATCTATAACGCGTTGCCGGAGAATATTGCAACTCTTCCTTATCACAGATTTTGGACTTCATTAAAAAATTGGCTAATAGCAGAGTGCTTTTACTCCGTCAATGATTTTTTAAAAAAGTACTCTACTCAGTCATATCACTTCAGAAATGCATTAGTGTAGTAATTATTTTTAATATGATTTTTGATATTTCAAGTGCAATGTAATGTAATTTTATTTCATAATTTTACCTGTCCAATTTAAAAATTTGCATGCTATCTAAATATAGCGAAATGTGTCTTGTGCTTTAAACATTGTAAACCACCTACTGTGACTACCACATTTTCTGCAAATAAATATATTATTATTATTATTATTAATAATAAATATTACCTATTAGGGAAGTATTTTAAAAACAGCAACACTGCTGAAGAATGAAGTAAATAGAAGAGTTGACTAATTCGTTCGAATCTTCGAGTAATGTAATTTAGTAATCTGTGGGCAAAAGTGAGATATAGAACAATTTGTTTGTGTTTTTATTCGCACGGAGAATGTTAAAATTGTAAGATATAAATTAAAAATGAATAATTAATATGTCTCATCAAAATTTTTCTCCATATTTACTACAAGAGCTTCCAGATATTACAGACAGCATAAATTATCCCATACAAAATGTACAACGTATAAAGGTTAGTCGTTATGTTCACTTATTTGGCCTTTGTTCAAAATAATTGGTAATAAAGAAATTGTCTAATTTTAACTGTGTATTGTAAGCGGATAATTTATTCGTTGTGATAAACGTATCGTAATATTTACGGTTGGTATGGTAGATAATGTTAATCATATCAATTAGTTTGCTTTACAGTAAAGTGCTATTGTGAATCTTCATTGCCTCACAATTATATTATTACACTGTAAATTTAATGTGCTACATAATTATGTAATCCGCGAACGTTATTATGATAATTGTGCATGTAACAGATAATTATATCTGTTTAAAATACACTTTTAATTCATGAAATATATGACTCATTTTCACGCAGCATACCCACACTTTTTTACGTATGCTTTTATTAATCATTTATCCCGTATTTATTGAATTTCTAGTATTTTTTTTATTATTGTCATTATTCAATTTCGTAAAACAGATATACTCATTTCATTAAGTATCTCTACAAATCAATTTTCACTTATTGTCACAAACCATATGAAAGTCATGTCAGTCTGCAGTGGTCCTGATTCAATTAACTTAGCTCTAGAAATATGAAGGCAGTAAAACATCTCATGAATTTTATGTTTATTCAGATATTCTTGTAATGTATTACATTTCAATATAATTCTGGAATCAACTATTTTTGTGACTGCTCTAGATTGTTCTCAGATTTTTTTTATTTTCTTTGTAACTGCAATCAAGTATTTCTGAATTAAGTACATAGTATATATGTATTGTCCAAGACATTTAGAATTCATCCATTATAATATTTTATAGAACACAACATGCTAACATTTATGACAGTTTTAATGCTAAGATTTTTATTTTATTTTTGTACTTGAAAGGGATTTGGTAAGAATCATCATTTTTTATATTACACTAATTGGAACTTCCTTAAAGGCTGGCAATGCGCTCAAGGCATATAGTTAGTATGCCTTCTTAGTTAGTTAAATCATTTTTTTCTTTTAAAGACAATTCCTGCATTAGGAATATATTCCTGTCGCGGTGACTTTACAAACATACATGGAACGGACTCAAATAACACCGAAACTCAGAACAACAGTTTGTGGATCACACAAAGTGTTATTCTATGCAGGGTTTGAACCCACAACACTCAGTGGAAAAGAAAGCGACAAGGTGAACGCTTAAACCACCCCATCTGTGCAGTCAAGTTGTGCTTTTAAAAAGTTCTCAATGTGTTATTTTGCAAATAACTGCATTTAGAGTTCAATCTTTGCTAGTTCATTTCTTTAGTTTTCCAAGTTATTAAGTGTTACAATTATAGAATTTATTAACATGTCTTACCTCAGGATTCTGTGATTTATTTTTAAGAAAAAAAATATGATGCTAAAGCATACAAATGCCCTAAGTAATTACCTTTATTTCTTTCCAGTATACATGTTTTGATATATCGAAGTCATTAATTGCATTTGGTGCAACTAGCGGTGGAATATACATCTTCAATAGGGATCCATGTGAGTTTATGCAGTTGATACCCAATAAGGTCAGTTGAACATAATATTTTGTAGGAAATAGTTGGTTTTTAAGGAGAGGCCTATGTCCAGCAGTGGACTACTAAAGGCTGTTGATGTGATGATCAATGACATGAAATGAATAGTAGGAATCCCTTGCAGAATTAGGTTGGCCAGAATAGCTTAGTTTTATTTTATTTATTTTTACAAAATTCTTACAAACTAATCCAATACAATATTGCATTAAATAATTCATCATCATCATCAGCCTATCGCAGTCCACTGCTGGACATAGGCCTCTCCAATTGCACGCCACTTAGATCGATTTTGGGCTTCTCGCATCCAGCTACTGCCAGCCATCTTGCGCAAATCGTCACTCCACCTGGCCTGTGGGCGTCCTACACTACGTTTACCGAGACGCGGTCTCCACTCAAGAACTCGTTTAAATAATTACTATATTATAAACTAGTTAAACCTTAAAATTTATTATAAAGTAATACATTTAAAAACATGCTATCCTTTTGAATTCACTCAGACAGCCAAGTATATCCACATTGTCAGCACCGTTATATTCCTACTAATACTATATAAGCACTTTATCTGCTGAGAACTGCTACCAAGCACTAAATAAGCACACAACTACTAGGAAAGCCTATTACCAGTAAGAGTTCCAGGTCTCTCCATAAAACAACTTGTCACTCTCCCTTTTATGGTACAGCTTAGTGCATGTAAAGGTAAGTAATGTTGTTTCCTGTTAAAGTAATGTCAATTTAAATTCATTTCATGTCATTCAACACAATTTTTACTTACACCCTATAAGAAGTGAGGGATTTATCATGTTTGAATATCTAAATAAAAGTTTTACCTTTAGCACTTTTACCTCTCCTAGCATCCCATTCTCTGTCAGTCGGAGTTGTTTTCTATCTTTGTCACATAAAAATCTTTAAAAATTGATATTTAACAGAATGGAGCCATCACACGATTGGTCATATCGCCAGATGAGAAACACATTGGATTTGCAAATGGCCGAGGCCTGGTCACTGTTGCTGGATGTAACCAATCGCTCAGCGGTAACCAGTCCACCGTTACTTCTAAAGAGCACCAAGGAAATGAGATCACAGCAATGATTTGGAGCGCTAGCCGCATGCTGTTCACTGGCGATGATGTAGGAAAGATATCAGTTATGCAACCACAAAATTTTATCGTAAGTTTCGTATCGTATATTTGGAAATATGTTATTAAAGAGCTTTTTTCCCATATTAAGTAAACCCATCCTGTGAAGAATAACACACTGATGTTATTCTATCTGCAGAATTTATGACAGTAATGTCTCGACAACCTATCGACGTAGGATATAGGTCATTGAAATTGTTTGGCTTTCCTATTTAAAGGGGACTCAGATACAAGAAACTTGATTTTCTTAGTTCATCTCTTATCTTTCAGAGTATACAGCCCTCGCACAAACAAAAAATGCCTGTGTTTGTGGTTTAACTTGTGAACAGAAATGTTGTAATTTGTTAGGCTGCCGCGCGCCATCCTTTCTCTTTAGAATTCTATTTTGAGACCTAATAAGATACTTTGACCACTTGAAAGCTTAGTAAGCCTAAAAGTTGACGTCACGTTTAAAGTTGTAGTATGGTAATATTCCAACTTTCTTCAAAGAAAGTATATATGGTATGTACCTTTTCAAGTTTTGTTATTGCAGATGGGACAGTTGTACTATGTAGAAATACATGGTACCTATACAATATTGTATTTAATGATTTCCATTACAAACTCGCTTAAAATAATTAGTTTGTTCCTTATAGCTTATAATAACATAAACATAAAACATAATTTAAGTCCGAGTTAGTGTCATTGTGTCGTTCTTGTATATCCTAGCGCCATTTACATTGCATACAATGACACGAATAATAATTAATTTTCAGGTACATCTCTTAGCTTGCGAATATTATTATAATGCAATCAAATACGAACGATGACTAGTTATTAAATGTAATGGCGATTGGACCTTTAAACAATGAACCCGCGATCAGACTTTTAATTTAGGAAAAATTACCTATAAACTTGTTATTCTGTAGTTTATTTTTATACCGTACATAATTTGGACATAATATATATACATGTTAAAAGAAAAATCTACGACATCTCATCTTTAAAGAGGAAACTATTAAGCCATTACAAGTGCAAAAATTATATGAAATAAACAATACAAAGTACATCTACACCCACGAAAATAATTACTAATAATAATAACTTCACACATCCCACACACGGCAGTCCGCTCCCAAATTAGGCAGAGCCTGTGTTATGGTAACCAGACTGCTGATAAACATACTTATATATTTTTAAATATACACACATATTATAGATAAATTACACCCAGACAGAGCAAATGATCGTGCTCATCACACAATATATGTCCTTGGAGGGAATCGAACCCACAACCTCTCATTAGCTAGCCTCCTCGTTTGCCAGTCGCACATGGTACTTGATGAGTCTCGATTGAACTCCAAGTCACCATGACTTGACTCTTTATAATAATGTAAAGTTACAGCAAACTGTAGAACATAATGAACTTATTTATTGAACAAATTCACTTAGCAATACATGCACTTGTGAACACAAAAAAGAGATAATAATTCCGGTATTTAATGTTGTACACATGAGAAATACCTATTTGTTTAAGTGTTGGGTAATTAATTTGCCATGTTATGTGTACTCAAGTGTTTAAAATTACAATCACCTTGACAGCAGAGTATTGGAATTCTACATCCTCCTAAAATAGTACAAAATACGAATGCCACATGGATATTTTGTTGTATAAGGCTTGGAACCACCAGAGATACAATCTCGTTCGTTAATTCTCACTGGAGATCAGTTTTATAGAAGAACAAAATATGTATAACCGTATTAAATCCTAGTCTTAGAAAAAGGCACTTGTTACTTGTTTGTTAAAATAATTCATTCAAATTCAAACTGAGGCCCATAATACAAATTGGAATTGACCTCCCTGATGTATCCAGCAATTTTAAACTGCCAACGTACATTTCAACATTCTTTTATTCTTGGCTTTGTAAAAATATTTTATTCCTGTTCCATGTATAATTCTAAGTCAACCGAGTTTGAGTAACATGTAAAATGTGTTACATGTTTAACTAGGCTTTACAGTTCCACTTACATGATGGGTGCGAAATCTGTTGTGATGTCTGTAACGATTATCTGATTCGCCGATGTGATTCGATTAACCTTTCTGAAAAAACTACTTGATTCCCATGCCTAGATGATAATGGGATTTTAAGTTCCATAGTGTCTTTTGATTCAAAAATCTTTGCCAACCAAGTGTACATTAATGGTCTTATAATAATAATTTGCCTCAACTTAGTAGCCTTTTCCACGCATTGCAAAATTGAGAGGGAATACAGAAGATATTTTTATAGAATAATAATAAGTTTAGTGACTCAATAATACAGTATAACAAATTAATATAAAAACTGAACAAATCATGCAAAATACAAAGGCATTCGACATTTTACATCGACACATATTCTTCCACTGTCTATAGCATTATTATGTATCCGATTGTTCTTTTTTATAATTTATGTTTAGGTATATTCATTCTGTTATTCGTGTAATAAGATATGTAATTTGTTATATGTTTTTGCTTCAATGTATTCCTTAACTGAATATAAACATGTTTGGTGGTTTCGTTTTCACTTAAAATTAACATGTAATCATGTAATCAGTCTTATTTTACATGCTTAAGAGCGTGTGTTACTCTAGTTAATGTAATTAAAAGTTTTAATTGCTTATTATTTAATCTGTAGTTTGCTTCCTTTTCTAAATATCTGTAGGAAAACTTAAATATCCCATTTTTTGAAATAATTAGTTATTTATAAACAAATCATGAATAGACTTTATTTAAATTCTACTTGAACGCCAAGATAAGAGAATGTAATATAATCTTGCATTATGTAAAATAATACCATTGTTTAGTTGCATGTAATGCTTATAGTCATAAAAAAACACCAGAATCCTATCTCATAAAGGTACTGTAGTCTAAGGCCCAACTCGTGGGCTCACTGTACACATAGCTCGCGAGACAAAAAATTCTCAGTTGTATTGTGTGATTTATTGTTATACCATGTGTGTTATGCCACCGCCCGCGTGTATGTCAGTTATCGAGGCAAAGCATAACCTACGTTACCTAATAATACAGTTTTTCATTTAAAACATGTAAAAGCGTAACTAACAAACAAAATAACTCACTTTTACATTCATGATATAAGTATTGATACTAGTTTTTACCACATCAGATTATATTTAAAAGGTAACGCTAAGAGGTGGACTCTCTCTCTGGAGCTACATTTGTTTCACCTAGTTCGAGTGATCTCTCGAACTAGGTGAAACACCTGTATCAGACTTGTACATATCTATCTTGAAAAAATCTTGAAAAAATCTATCTATCTTGAAAAAATAAATTATTATTATTTATAAATTGAATGTATTGAAAGTCCGCAAAGACAGTCGTATTAGAAGTTACAATGGAGAAAGACTCGCTACCTTATGTTTACAGGTAATCTTTCGTTGCGTTTGAGACATTTGGAGACACCTAAATGGACGTGGGTTCAGTTTTCGAGTCAGTTCACTGACTCTAATGAATGCAGAGTAACGGAGCATAAACCTTTTCAGGCAGTTATTTTAAACAACCTTTTAAAAAGCGAAGATTTTCCGGATAATTTAACTTTTACTTAAATTGAATCAACGTGTGCTTATTGTACTGATAATCAAATTGGAATTGTCATGATAATCAAGTAAAAAATCTTCCGTACAATTAAACAAAGTTTTAAATTTTCTCTTTCCAGGCCAAAACCATGTTCCAGAGCTCATCACTGACTATTATGAGTTTAGATTCACGAATTTGCCAATTAGATATGAAATCTAGCATGCTGCTCGTGTCAACACTGACGCGATGCTACATTTGCGATACCTCCAGAGAACAATACAGGCAGATCGGACAGAAATTCCGTGACGGCGAATATGGTGCATGTTTCCTTAATAAAGAGAATAATATTGAACAGGCAACGGAAAATGATGCACAGAACTTCACTGAGGTCCGAAGGTATAACATTGTAGGAGAGGATTCTGGTTTTACAGTCGGCAAGGAAGTAGAAAACACCCTTATATTTTGCGCGAGACCTTCGTCCAGAATCTGGGAAGCTACAATAGATGGAACAGTAGTAAGAACACATCAATTTAAACAAGTACTTGCAAGGAAACCTATGAAAATAATCTCAGTAGAGTCATATGAAACCCAAAATGTCTGTTTGGAAGAAATATCCTGTGAGAACGAAGGACAATCGGTTAATTTCTCCAAGATTTTCGCAATGAACGGTGCCATATTCTCCTTTAAGAAAAACGCGTTATATTTTTTAAATATAAATGACGTCGATCAAACAATTTGGTTTGATTCGTACAAAGATATTATTGATTGTAAAATATACCATGATATGTTGTATATGTGGTTGTGCAACGGCTCTCTAGTCTGCTTGAAGTATTTGAGGGTAGATAAGTATTTAGTGAAGTGCTATGTCGAAGAGAAGTATGTGCTGTGCGCACAGATGTGTGCCTTATTCAGTAAATATTTACTGACCAACGTCTTGTCCCCTAAGTTGCACATTTTAGTCAGTTTGAGAGATAAAGTGGATGACAACGAGCTATTAAACAGTATTAAAGATGTACTAGATAAATTTGATAACTTGAAGGCCAACGACTCTACTCAAATGAAATCCGGAATATATGTACTTGATAACACTTATAATGCGCAGACGTCGTTATTTGAAGATACATCAACAAAACCTGACGAATATAAGTTTAGTTCTTTGTCTCCAGAAGCAATGCAGACTTTAAAAGACCTAAGTATATCTGTATCAGACAAATTAAGTACGAGTAAGAAAATATTAAAAGAAAAGTGGGAGGGTTTTGAAGGTAAAATGAAACATCTCAGTATTGACAAGAATCTAGACATAAAAGAAATCCCACATATCGAGCCACATACGCGTATTATCAAAAGAATACCTTCAGAAGAACTGATCGCTCGGACGCAACATGTGTTAAATAGTGACATAATTTATAAAGGTACTAGTCAAATGGCCATAGATGTAGACAATAATATATTAGACAAGGATAAGGCGTGTAAGTCTATCTATCAGTGTTATAAATTAAGCTTAGTCAGTAAGGAGACGGAACAATCTAACTTAGTATCTACTATCGAAACTTATGCCTGTGATATTAGCCAGATCTACGGACTTATGTTACAATTAGAAAGATATTGTGCCAACGTTGGCGCCATTGAAGAATCTAAATTTGTACCTAATCATATATTTCTCATTTATTTGAGTGAAACAACGCAAAAGGAAGAAGCGTTAGATTTTATTATAAAAGACGAAACTTTATACAAATATTTTGTAGACTCTTGTATATCTGTGAATTTGAAGACTCAGAAGATATCGAATATCGGATGCGCTTGTGGATTTCCACTACCTTATTCAAGAACTCTTTACACTCCAGCGTTTTCTGAGCTAATAGATGAATTCATTGAGAGACAATGGTCCAATCAAACACGTAACCAGTGCTATGATATGTGCAAACGTATGCCATACTTGTGGAGGAAAATTTTATACTTGAGACGAAACGAGGACTTATTGAATATTTTGATGGTACTGCTACAAATGTTGGACGAAGGATTGTTGCATTCCTTCTTACCACAGTTCACGTTGGAAACGTGGGAGCGAGCGGTACAACTGTATGCCATATTACACGCCAATATATGTTTGAATTGTGCTAAAAAGTTCGATCATATCTCAGTGAGGGATACGTTGAGTTGGGATGATCTCGGACGTTTGATGATCAAGTCGATTGGAAGCAGAAATGCTATAAAAGTGTTGGAGAAGTACGCCGGTTTGATAGACGAGGGGGCGATCACAGTCAAGTTTTATCACACCTGTTTGCTTGTCACCATGTATGAGAGATATGACGCCACTATTACAGCGGACCTCACCGATACTATATACAGCTCTTACAATTTCGAAGATTCCAAATTTGAGGTAATAATATTACTGTATGGTGTGATGTCCTATGTACACAAGTTATTTTTATAAAAGAAATTAGAAATTCACTGTTAGCTGTAGTTATTGCGCCCCCTTTTTAATTTACTCTCAACAAAAAAATAGACCAACGAAATTTACTTAATGTAATTTTAAAGAATGTAAATCTGTTGGTTTTAAAAGAAATCAAGGGCTTAAAAATATATACTCATAAATAAAGATTAAAAATGATAATAGGTAATAAAACCTTATTTTTGACTTAAAATATAAACTAGAATAATAATTATATGTCATCTAATCTGGTTTTTGGTAGAAAAGTGGTAGTAGAAAAGACATTTGTCATCGTCATATAAGTAGCACTTTTTCTTATGTTACAGTTACATCAAACACTTAGACAATTTGTGCTATTTACAGATTTGCGAATTACTACGAAGTACATTAAATGGCCACACGAAGAACACAGCTCTACCGATCATTGTGGCCGCTAAGTCTAAACACTGGGGACTCCAACCCCTCATCGAAAGACCCGTCGGGGACTTCGAACGAGTACAAGAGTACATAAAAAATGTGGATCTCGACGATATTTTAGAAAACTTGCATTACATAAATAACGGCATCACTGATTGTATACTCTGTGGGCTGCCACTTCATAATATTGTGTTAATCAAAGATGGCGGGCTCTGGGCTTTCAAGTGTGGTCACACTTTTCACGGCGCTTGTTTAGACTTAAATAAAGTCAAGTTATGCCCTTCGTGTTCGCCCGTCAAGTGACATATTTGAGTGAAGTTATTTGGTGCAATGTTTTAGCACAATAGTGTTTTTACGAATTTATTTATCGCGTTTTGTTATTTGTTGATTTAAAAGTTATTTAATTTATAGAAAGCACATAATTGCGATCATAAAGTTTTAATGAATGCAGCTGAATGGATCCAGTAGGGGGTGTTTTATGCAAATAAGATAGAAGCATTAGGCTTTACGAACATTCGAAATAGAAGTAATTTTAAATTCGACGAGGATGTTTCACTGTAGAGTGATTTCAAAATAGTTTATTGAGCTGACGTTACAGTCGAATGCCTAACCACTAGATATTGTATACTTATATTTGTTGTTTTATTTTGTTATATTATTGTTGATATATTTAGTTAAATATAAAAACTTTAAGCATACTGGTGGTCGCCCACAGCTTCGAAATTCAACCATGATTCATTCATTGTTTATAAACTTTAGTATTTATAAAGTTAAACTAATCAGAAAAATAATGTTGAAACTGAGGGAAAAGAGTACCTGTACCAGCCTAGCAGGACTGTTTTGTCTAATGTGAATGGCGGTTGAATTGCATTGTCCAATTTAACTTTTTCACTATTTTAGACTCCGTATCATGGCAACTCAACACACAATGGACTGCTGTAACTTTTATAAATTCTTTTCTTTAAATTTTTGCTTCCTCGCTTCTTATATAAATTAAGTTTCACATTCCTCAGTCCGCGACGTTTGCTTAAAAAGTGGTAAAAGATCATATATAAATTAGATATCAGTGCCTGCCAGTTGATCATGTTTGTTCGTTGTCATTTTGTTTGACATAGGTACACTAGATATTATGTAGATATTTTATTGACTTGTAAGAGGCTTTTGATGTGTCTTATCAGCTCGACGGAGCGGTGTGAATTAGTCTGCCATTGACTGCACGGATGGCGTAATGGTTTAAGCGGTCGCCACGCCGCTTCCTACTATGCTGAGTGTTGTGGGTTCGATCCCCACATGAAACGGCATTTTGTGTGGTGTACAAACTGTTACTCTAAATCTGGGTATTCTTTGTGTCCGTTTCATGTATGTTTGTAAAGTCCCCCGCGACACAGGATATGTTCCTAGTGAGGGAGTTGTCTTTTTAAAAGAGAGAAATAAGAAATTGAAACTATTCTGTTGCTATGGTCGTGTACTCGAATAATGGCCTACCTCACCCCTCTGTTTCTTTCCTTGTTTCCTCTCTACATCTTTCGTAAAGAGAATCGGAACAGTAAAATAGTTATGATCTATTGCAAGAGACTTCTTGCTCCACTAAGCTCCTAAAACCTTAATCTTTTTACATTTTGTAATTCCTTATATATAGTATAATAGTTTATACGAATTAAAATGCTTTTAATATAATGACGCAAAATTGGACGTAGTTAAGCGGAAATGGCTCATTCCACAAAACTCACTTTTGAGTTAAAGGCGTTTGAAGTTTAAAACTAATTTATTCTAAGAAAAAGTTAAGTTTAAAAGTTAAAAAGTATTTTTTTTTTAAATGCATTTAATGAAAAGGATGGTCTATATTTATATTGTCTATCGAACAAAGTTATATATTATGCAATAGATTTCGAGATATTAAGTGAAATGTGGGTTGTGTTTACAAACTTAACTGTTTTGTAAAGGACTCAAAACTACCATCAGTCTAGAAAATAAGTTACTAAAAGAAAAAAATGAGTGAACCTATTAAAAAGTCATACCTATATTTCTTCTTCTTATACATAAGGCTAACAAAATCACATAAAAACATATTATAAAATTAAAACAATGGGAAAATTGAGCGGCGCGTATTAATATGTCTCATCCTCTTCGAAATCAAAATGGATAGTTGGTAGTAATGGCATTAATGCTAATTGGATTTAATTTAATTAATTGCGAATTCCTATGGGTTAGTATGTTAATTGCTAATGCTAATATTGCAATTTCGTACAAGGGAAGCAGATGAAAAACGATCGTAACTTGTAGGTGTATTACTAAGTACTAATTTTACATAAATAACTTATTTTTAATATATTTTAATTTGCCGCGATTTACGCGATCAAAAGTGGCTGCTATTTTATTTTCTCCAACATTATTACAGAAATAATGCAATATAAGGTTTGTTTGTATGCATATCTATTAAAATTTCAAATTAAGTCGTAAAAATAAAACGAAATATTCGGGAATTAAAAATTCAATTAATGATATTAAAAATATAGTTATGCAATAAACAATCCTAAAAATGTGCATTTCTTTTAAAAAAGTCAATAAAATAATTTGCACACAGAAATAGCATATCGCGCCGGGCAAGATCACTATTCCGAACGAAATAGGTGCTTAAACGTGATAGCAGACGGTTCATTTTGCAATGTAGCATTAGCAGTTGTATTAATATTTATACGTAGTAGCACACGTAGTATATTCGGGGATATTCATGTTGATGCGAATAAGAACGCACGCGCTGTGTAAATGTGAAGCGTTAACGAATGATGCGATGAAATTTCGTTCACGAAATCACACGACTACAATTAATTTTGCTAACTGCTAATTATGAATTCAAAATTAAATATGAGTGTGAAGACTAATTAATCCATCACTAAGAGGCCCATATCCCTCAACAGCCTCGTCGAAATTTCCGTTTCCCCTAAGGTTATTGTAAAATGCATGACAGTCTTCAGGTATTAAACCAAATATCTGAGATCATCGTGCTTTGCTTGAGGAATGGGTTATCTCTGGGTTCCAAGAAGTTTAAAATCTTCTTAAAATTGAATTGCAAAACCTTTGTTTCGTTTCGACCCATCCGATATTTTTATATCTCCACTTTCTGACGTCGTAGTAATTAAATGTTTATTTTATCTGTTCAATAAAATTCGCATAGTTTATAGCCAGTTTACTTTACTTTACATATTTTGCGGTTACCTCCTTTTTTTTCTAGTTGTTTTGTACTTAAAAAATCTTGTTTTCATGCGGATGGACTTCGTTCTGCGAATACATTTTGTGTGCTCATCATACTAAGAGGTGGGTCGGGTTAGTGAAAAAAAAAAACAGTTTCCGTGTAAATTTTAAAAATTAGTTTTCACTACAAGACAGATTCGACCGTCAGGAGCACGATGGTACTCTATTTCGACCACTGTGTGGTTTGAGTCCTTTCTGCTTAACGACGTCCAATTAAAATCACATTTAATTGTGTATTTATACTTTGTTAATTATTACACCCATAGCTGATATTCACATAATCTCAATTTTTAGCATAATATTAATGATACCAAAAATGTAACTTATGTAATCGTATGTACTTAAATATTTTACACCAAACAACGTATGAAATGAACAAATTGTAAATATCAGAGAGTATTTTTGTATAACGCTAAGGTGTATCCATATCGTGTAATAATTATTGTATTCTGATACTTTTGATGAATTGAAATCTATGAATGTATGCGAGACTAAATATATTCTTAATAAAACTACTTATGCTGTAAGAAATTGATTATTATTTTACTACGAAATTTTAATCATTCCTATTGTTTTATTAAAACATTAGTAATATTGTACAACTAAGTAGCATGTTGAATAATCCTGTCCTAATTTTCATTTAAGTTCTGTTTTAATAATAAGGCAATGCTACCTCGGGATTTCGATATTATGTAAATAATTCTCGGTTTTGTGGTATTGTAAACATTTAAAAAAAGTCCCTCATTTTTAGGGATGTGAAGCCGAAACATAAAAAAAAATCGTGAAATTCGAACATCTTCGATGTGACATACTCGTTTAAGTAAACTTAAAGGTTAGTTTTCAATATTTAAAAGTCATTAATGGAGTTATTAAGCGCGTCTTGCTCGATCAAAGTTGAAGGATTCTTCAGAAGTTCCAAATTAGTGCAACGATTACCTCAAAACAACTTAATATGTGTGTTCGAGAAATGGGCGGTACGTCCCTCCAACACAAAGGGAGGATCCTCGGCGAGGCGAGGTGATTATTGACTGGCTGCGGCCCAACGATGATGTTGGAGAGTTGTACTAAGAACTTTTCATATCGCGATACAGGATTAGCAGTTCCTCTGTAGTTTGTCTTCGTTAGATGGCAGCTGAAATATGTTTTTGTTTCACTGTGACATATGATAGTCTCCACGTGTGTAGGTATACCAAATGCTTTAACATTCTCGAAACTGAAATATGGTCTCTATTCATCATCATCAACAGCCTTTAATAGTTCTGCTGGAATAGGAATTATATAGAAGAATTTTTTATGTCATAATATTATTTTGCATAACAACAGATAGCATAAACTTCGATCGAAAGATAGAAAATCGTTTGCAGACACTCATTTATCATACATTCAAAACTCAGAAATTTGTAAGTTATAATCATCTTTAGGCATAAAATTCATGTCCATAATAATTAAAAAGTAGATCCATCGTATCGCCGAAAGTTCATAGTCAGAATCGTCTGTGAGCATAAATTTCATACTGCTAGTCATTAAAGGTAGAACTATCAAATCTCATTCATATCTATAGTAATTAAAACCAGCAAGCATGCCGCATATCTGTCACGGCTCTGGCGGTCCCACACGAGCTTCTCGTCGCAGATGAATTCAACGCTGAACACCGCAGCTTCGGCCGGAGCCGCGAGAGCGTTCGTTGAAATATTCCAAATGAAATTTTACCAAATAATCGTCGCTCTAAATAACCATTATGCTGAACGAAATCATGCGGCATTTTAACTCTGCCGAAAGTAACTATGCTAAATAAAATTATGTCATCTTCCAAACAATAATTAATAATAATATCATTCGGCCAAACAATAATTATACTTTAAAGAAGATTCTGCCAAGTGTGTTATGCGAAATAAATTTCGAAACATTAAGATTCTGCCAGATAGTGGGAACCCCTGCTGGACATAGGCCTCTCCTTAGAAATCAGATTTTGGCTTACTATATCACGCTGGTCAGACGGGTTGGTATAGATTTGTGTCATGTTTTCCTTCTCTTTGCAGTGCTGTTGTTCTGCGTAGTTTGCTCCCTTAGTCTGACGACACCCACGGGATCAATAGGGGTGGTGACACTCCGTATTCTTAATCTGTCACCACATCATCTGCCTACTATTATAAAGTTGTTACCTTATTATGCATGACATCGTGCAATTTAGAGTTTATTCAAGGAGGTTGCAGTGTTTTCTCATTGCAGCCGCATTTGCTATGATTAAAATTGCAGGCGTCCAGTAAGAAGTCGAGTACACGGCTACACCTGGTTAACTTAGCAATATATAAGTACTACATCTATACCTACTTAAAAACATATCTATACCTACGTTCGAAAATTGTCTGATTACAAGTTATAGTTTCGGGGTGTGGCGCGGTTTTTAGATCAGCTAACACATTTAGAAGGTTTATCAAACATAAATTGTTTCAGGAAGTTTACTAGAGCATCAAATATATTGTAAAAATACTACTTAGTAGTGACGTGAATTACTCGTTCTCGTTAACAAACGATATCATGAGTCCCTACCTTGATTGTAAGTATTGTAACACAACAATAACAAAATTATAAACACAAAGCCTGTCTAAGTTTCTTGAGGGTTCTTTTGTCAGTCATCAAAATAGTTAGAAGACTTTAATGATAATAAAGAAGATATTTGAATTATAAACGGTATATATGCCATGTTGATTTCGGTAATTATTTTCCGATATTCCGATCAGTTCTTCCATGAATGGCGCGTGAATGTCCGAAAAAAGAAGGTAAATATCCCGTATAGGTATAATAACTTATAAAGTGAGTGACCACGGTAATTTAAATCAATACATACCTTTAATTTTTTTTTGTTTTATAGTCAAATCTAGTAAAAAAAAATACTTTTTACTGGGCCTTTTTGTTGCGAGTCATATTGGATTCAGATTTTTTTCATAATGTACTGGTATAAGTATACTACTAACTAGCAAAACTATTTAATCTGCCATTTTGTGGTAGTGGCCAAAGACTCAATATACTATACTTATGAGGATACCTCATTGGAAACCTTGTAGAAATCACAGGATGCGCCGTCGTCCAAGGCGTTATAATTAGAATTCAATATTCAGATTGCATATGTCAGGGTGGGTTAAATAAATAAGCTGATATATTATTTTCAATATTTATTTTTTAATATACTTTTGGGTTTTGGCACAATTTTTAAACAATGTGACCTGGTTTACACTAGGTAATAAAACCTAAAATCTATCTACTTACACGTTTGAAAGGTTTTCGAATGATAAGTAATACGGCATGCTGAAATTAAAACTCAACAAATAATTATTGTGAAAATAGTTAAAAAAAACTATTTTTAAAATAAAATAACAACATTTTTAAGTACGTAAGTCGTAAATTATCAGTACCTCGTGATGTTGACAATAAAAGTACCCGAATGGCACTAATTAGGTACTTACTATTTATGGCAAGATGCGTGGATGCTAATCAAACGAATTGTTACATCTGTTTTAATAAATAAAAATTAAACTCGTTCGACATCCTAAATCATACGATCGAGACTCCATAATTAAGTATCGTTTATTAAATAACCACAATTACTAACGTTTACATCAAAATATACGCCTATTTACATGAGTTCAACATAAAAAATAAATAATTTAACGGCACTGATCTAAACCCTTACACAATTACTAAGTATGAATACACACTACTTATAAACATTAAATTTCACATACACAATAGTTTTTACTTAATCATACTAACGCTACGTCACCTCAATTACTGGCATACAACTTTTATTTTAAAAAGAGAGGAAATACAAAAAAAAACAAAAACAAGTTTTGTACACTTAATTAGAAAAATAAATAACAAAATTCAAAAAATGGCAATTAATTCGAACATTTTTTTTAGATTTTTACTCGCAATATTTATACACGTTTCTTTTACTAAGAGCTATATAAAAATGTAGATAATATTATGTATTACTACAGCTTAAATGCTATTCATCTACTTATATAAATTGCACGATTCGATAAAGCGAATATTTTGTTTATGATAATAATAGTTTATGGGCCTTACATCACCTTTATCAGTTGTCTACATACACAATACCATGTGTGGGTATGTAACTCAGATTTTAATTAATATTTATTTTTACTATAAAAACACAAAAAAAAGATATTTTGTGAAAATAAGTGTAGGTATTGTATACAAAGATTGATTATATATTATTACTCACATGGTAGTTTTTTCTTGCATTTATTAAATATGCGTCATGAGATTATTGCATTTTTTAGATTTAAACTTCTTATTTGTTAAATATTTTTTATAAACAGGTAGTGATATAGACTCAAAAAAAAAATCCCACATAATGTCGGTGGGGTTTTAAAAAGAAATTATAAGGATTGTGTTTTGTAATAACAAATTGACAATTTATGTATTATGATCATACAATTTAGCAATAATACTGTCTGCAACCCCTCGACCGGTTTTGTATCGAACCCAACGCTCGAAGGTAAAAAGGACATCGGCTCTTTTTCTCATCTGTATGGACAACCATTTTCACAAGGTCAAACTGTGTATTTAAAACACAAAAAAGGCTGCCATTTTTGTCAAATCATTGCAGTATTTATGAATGCTAAATCAATTTCAATATTTATATGTAATTATAATTTAATTTTTTGACTATGTTGAATATGCGATATATACTTTCTTCGAAACTATTACTTCCTTACAGAAAAGTTCTACTAGGTACCAATCTCAACTAAGTCTATGAGTATTTTATTATAAACATTATGCATATAGATCTCACTGAATTCAAATTAAATAAAAACAGTTCCTGTGTTCAAAACACTTCAATTTTCAAGCAATCCGCTACAAATTTTTGGTTTCATACATTATAAGTGCTTAGTATCTAAAGCAGCTACGATATTACATTGTGTCGCATTCGTCTATACACGGCCACGCGATACTCAACATTCAAAGTACATCACGACTACCTAACGCTAGACACTAATCTCTGAATCTTACACATACACTAAAACTGTTAAACATTCGAGTAAAACTTAGTGCTAATTTATCTACAAAAGGAATTTTACTTATTTACAGAGAATCCATTAAACCGCTTCCGACCGGTTTTATCCAGTAACATCTACAGCTAATAAAATGATTTAGATGATTAATTTATGTACATATACATTATTGTTCTAATTATCTACGTGTTGGTTTAATACAACATTTGGCACAATTTCTTTTGTAAAAGGGTTTATCTATTTGTGCCAAAAATCTAAGATTCTAGTCCAAAACTTCCATAGGTCGAACCTACGATGGGCGATATTTACATATTAGGAGAGCTATACACCCGCATAATACTTATAAGTAGTAAATACTACGAGAAACTATTTCACAGTACAGCAGAGAGCTCATATAAGTTACAAGGTTTAACTAGAGATATCAATAGATGAGATACTGCACTAAGAATTGCCTTTAATTCAAGATTTTTCTTCGCCATCTTTGACTACGAATAATCACTGCAGACTTATATGTATTACACGGGCGAGAGCGTCCAACGATAGAATTTTCTTAACTCACTAATGGAATAATCTCATTATTAATTATCAGTATTTTATAAACGAGAGATCCAATTTGAGACACTGGCAAAATAACTCACATAAATACAGCTAGAGTTTGTTTACATGAAACTCCCAACAATCGGTAAGTGAGATTGGGGTCGCTTGCGATTCATGTCAAGTCTTAGTGGATGATGGAGTATCCCAGATATTTCCAGGAGCCTTGTTACCACGGGTGGTGTGTAGGGGGGAGCTGAAGGGGCGCGGCGTGCGGGTACGGCCAGCCGCGCGCCGACCCTCAATCTTCCTCTCTGGGGGATAGCGGGGGCGAGAACGCTGGGTTCATGTAATTGCCGCCGTTCGGAGGTGGGGAGGAGTTCGATGGTCCCGGTGAAGACAACGAAGGTGGAAGGAAACCAAGCTCACTACCACCGTCTCTGCACCACAGCTGTCTCATCTCCTGCCGGCGAGTCCGCATTAAGTTCTTGTATTCAGATATCCGCATTTTCTTGCCGTCGACTATGCATGTTCTTTTCGGTCTTGGGCGGTACCTGTAATAAATAAACAGTTAAGTTAGATAAAATGATTATTGGAATAATAATCTCATCCTCGTCATCATCGCAAAAATAATATCATGTAATGCGAATTGACGCGAAGACAGTTCGCCTGGAAAACTACTCTCTTGGGTAAGTATTTTATTACAAGTATAATACAATTACTCTTATTTAGTATCGCATAGATTTTTAAAGGAGTTAGATGCTACACTATCATTGTCCATAGATTCCCTTAAACTTACGCAAAGACAACATGAGATGTACTTAGCTTTAGATCTGCCCCTATATAGAATAGAAGGTCAGTATAAGAAATACTACATTATTTACCTGAATAGGTGTGTTACACGACGATGTGTTAAAAAATTGTTTAATTAAATTAATATCCAATTTTGGTTTTCAAGCTAGGGTCTAAAAAGTTAAAAAGTTAGGCAACTTACCTATAATCAGGATGCTTCTCCATATGCAATTTAGACAATCTGGACTGTTCTTCATAATAGGGTTGTTTTTCAGCGTTGGACATGGCCTTCCACCGCGCGCCGAGAATTTTGGATATATTAGAGTTGTGCATATCAGGACACGCCTTGAGGATCTTCCTGCGTTCGTCTTTAGCCCATACCATGAAAGCATTCATGGGTCGCTTGATATGGGGTTTGCCAGCCTCGTCACGTCGCGGTTGACGGACCAACTTGGCTTTTTCTGCATCCTCTGAAGGTGATTGACTCCAAGACGATGCTGAAACAATAGACGTCAATATTAAATAGTTACTTATTAACATACCTTTAGAAAACACTGAAACAACTTTCTATTTTTTAATTCCTGTGTGTCGCGATTAACACAAGTTACAGTGAATAAATCTCATGGCTTTGTATTTTTTTTGACTTGATCCTCGCCTTTGGTCTCAAACCTGGCCGCAAATATACGTTTTTTTATAAAGTAATGCGTTATAAGCACGGGCTTGCAAATATCAAATTACAGAATGGCCTAAGTAGTAGGTACGTTATTGATTTTTGATAATTATATCTCTTGTCTTCCTATTCCAGAATACTACAATGATTTAATTTGAACAGTACTTCAGAACCATGGTGACACGGTAAAATCGTTTCGTATGTTATACGGTACGATTTTTGTGACGGTGACACATTTGGTCAAGTCATAAGTCCGTAAGGACAAGAATCCCAAGATCCGATGCCTACATAAAAGTTATGAAAGAATAAATAAGTTATGAAAAAGTTAATGACGTGTCGCTATGTTGATACTGAATATACCTACAATCGGAAGCCGGTGGCTGCTGTAAATTATTACAAGAGATTGATGCCGGTCGTAAAACAATCGTTAAATTCGGATTGTGTGACTATTTCTAAGCTTTCCATTTATATCTGAAAATACAAATATGCAGACAAATTTTGTTAACAGATTTCATTTGTGTTTGTGTCTTTCATTATCCGAGATAAAATAATTAAATACTTAAACGTACTTGGTACTAGTTGGGCATTACATTGAAGTATATTCCGTTGGTACTATAATTGTACAACTAACTTTTCGTTTTATCAAGCCGAAGATATATTTATTTAATAAAATAATGATATTTCGTTGTTTATACAGATATAGGAAAAAAAACTACTAACTACCAATTCTTTTTTTTATCTAATGACAGCTTTCTAGATACATAAATCGTAATGGTTTATTCATGTTTAATTGATTCGATGCTAGTTAATATGTATAGCCTAGAATGGCTTATTTGTAACAACTTTCTTGGGAAAGTGTTCTTAATTACTTATATTCAAAGTTTATGCCTGTCTTTAATAAAAAAGTTCTTGCTTAATTGACATTATTTAACACTGATTCAAAAGAGTTTTTAATCGATGTAAAACTGTGGTTTTTTTTTACGTTTAGTTAGGCTTGTTAACATGTTGTTTCATAGTAGAAGAACTCTACGATCACATGTGGTAAATAAATGTTATGTAACCTACTCGTATACTACAATGTTATACAATAGGAAGTTTTCTATACTTTCATAGACTTGAGAATGTTAGTCGAGCTCAGCTTCACTTTTTTTTTACTTCTAACACACAACGCTATCTAGTTTCAAACTAAGCTGAGCTTGTACTATGGAAGCTAGATTAACTGACATATTATACATAGAAAACACACAAACTCCGAAGAAAATATTTGCAGATCATACGAACATTTGGTACGACCCGGCAATCAGCACAGCCGTCGCCTTTTATATACCTTTTATATTGTTATCTCATTTGTTGTTGTGTCATCTTTTTGTACTTGCTATCCTTTCTACAAGTCCCACTGATAATGGTGCCAGGCTGCCCAAACAGTCAAAAATGGGCACTAAGAATGCCCAGAAACGGGATAACTATTTGTGTATTACGTTAAGTTTTGTTCCGTTTGGTAATCAAATTGGCAGATCGTTTCGGTTACCGATCACGGGTTGTGGAGGGCGACTACCTTAACCCGTCTACACAGTTAAACGTGGGAAAGTTACAAACCTTCTTTTTTCTAATTTTTTTAATCAATTTCATTAAAGTATGAAAAAAAACAAACACTGACATCGAGGTTTGCTTGAAAGATATGACAAGTGGCAAAAACGATCTTCGGAATGTCTCCCCGCACGCCCCTCGCCTATATATGTAGGTCAAACTAACTCGTCCGCCTCACATTTGAGTTGACGGATTCGCCACCAAGTGTCCACACGATTAATAAACCACCGCGGAAACATCCAGCATCCAAAGCTCGGGACATTCCTTGAATTAATTTGACGCGCTCTTAGATAATTTATAACATCCTACTGCGTCTGATACTGTATGATACACTTCGAAGATGAACGCGAGGAGGCCCAACAATCGCGCACAAAACTCCTACCACACATAATACACCGCAATATTTTTTGGACATTCCGTATTTAAATTCAGTCTGCCGCTTATGACGTCAATGGCATTTTATTTCTGTCTCAGTTACACAGCTGTCAAACTAACAACAAGTATTAATGACGTTCCCCTGGAATGGCGGCAATAATTAGCCACACAAGACAGGTCAAGTACGGAATAGTGATTCAGATATAGTAACAGCCACATTTCGTTATATAGTGTTACATCTTTAAAATGTTTTTGTTTCTAACAATTCGAGTGTGACAATACGTCATTTAAAATGAAATGTTTTTTTTTTAATATACTTACGTTTTCGTGGGTAGCTATTTGTTACAGTTGTAGTAAAATTTACATTTAAACCAAATTTATTTAAAAATAGGTGCAAACGCAGTCCAGGGATTTTCGAAAAGGTGTTTTTTATAGGATTGTCTGGTTCATGGACGAAGTTCGTCAAGTCTAGAATTCTTGTAGACGAGACTTTTTATTGAAATTAATTATTCTCACTATTACCATAGTGTTATGGTTCTGTTAGTGATTAAAGTCACTAGAGCTTCGTAGGAATGTGTATTTTTCAAAGCATACTTCATAAAATTCAACTAAAAGACTAGTATATTGACTGTATTGATCAGATATTCCTAAGGCTCGATAGCTGGTATTCAAACTCAATACAATAAATGTTACGAGAGTCTCGATACCATATTTATGTGTTATGTGCGCGAGTGTCCCCCGAGGCGGGACGATGGACCGAACGGAAGTTTGCGTCTCCAGCGCCATCTATTTTGCATTTCACGCGATTCTCTTGTTTTAAAGGAAACGAAACGACACTTGCGATTTTGTAACCATTTCGCTTTGGGATCGCGCCAACTATTTAAAGTAGATATTAGTCTTATTGTGTACCATATCATTAATAATAATAACTTTAAATTATTAAATGTAACATAACATTTTTATTGATGTAGAGAAACCAGTGTTTTCTTAATAAACCTTTATATCAAATGACGGCGCTTCTTTACTTGTTAAACATAATATTGATTATATTATGTGAACTTTATGGAGGTATACTGTGGCCTAATCATACTCCTACGTGAAACTCATGTTTTCTTCTATGACTAATTTGATCAAAAGTAATTTAAAAAAAAAAATAGCTTTAACTTGTGACTAATAAAGAAGTAATTTTACTTAAATGGATTTTAACATTACATTTTTGTTTTTTGATAAGACATGACACAACCAGCATAATCGTTAAATAGTTGATCTTTCAATTCAGATATCGTTGATTCAAACCTTCCCCTACAGCTTCACAGAAGAAGATAATTAAGACCGTAATGGGTAATATCGAGTTAATCATGGTCTCTTTTTGTTAAGTCCTAGCATTCCTATGTATTCTGATTAAGTAATAAAGGTGATTACACTATTACAGGGTTTACTAAACCCTTATCACAAAATAATCTCAAATTTCTTTCTTAACAAAGATACTTTTTAATAATTGGAATTCCAACATTGTCCGGTTTAAGAATGTAATCAAGTCGCCGGGTGGGCAATAAAAATGAGACATTATGGAGTAAGTAACATAAAACCAGATCCCGTAAGAATCTGATTCACTTCAAGATTACCAACCATAATTAATACTCCTGACTTGCCTCATCTCTCAATCCCTTCGTCCAAATACACCTACGATATAACCAGATAACATTTTAACAGAGAACGTTCTTTTCTATTTTGATTTGTAAGTGAATGTTATGGAAACTGTATTAGTATATTAGTTTTTATAGTAAGAATTAAGGTTCCTTCAATCATTGTTTTAACAAGGGCAAGGCTGTTTAGAGAAGTACCTTAATATATCTTTATATAGAGAGATTACGTAGCTTATGAGTCACAATAACTATCACGATGTAGTTTGGGAAAATTGATAGAAAATGAGACTGGTATTAATACCTTGTATCTTAATGGTTTTAATTCCTGACTTATAATGTGCAGTATGTCTGAAAACCCCCACAGATTTGTTCGAATAGGAGTGAACGCGCAAGTTTTTAATTAATCACCGCTGACAGCGCAATAGTTAAAAAGTGGTCACACTAATTTATCAAGCCAATAAGCTGCGCCAAGTATTGTGAGTTTGGTTCCCAGACAGAACAACAACTTGTGTTATCAAAAACTAGTCTCGGTTCCGCGATTCAAGAATTAGTCCTTGTGCGATAGTTTTTAAAAAGAAAAAAGTGTTTCCTAACTTTCGGGTGGGCTTGTCTCCATGCGTTTCAACTAGGTGCAATTGCAAATCTATCGATAAAACTAACAAATAAAATTAATCAATACTGAAATTTGACATGTAAGTCCAATCCTACAGAGAAAACGAGATCATTGTTGATGTTAAGCATTTGTTACTAAATTAACTTTAAAATGTTTGTTAGCTTTACTGAGGTTGTGACTTAATATTTAGAGTAAGAAAGCGCAATAAATATCGCGACCTACTTACATTCGATATTTACCGGAGAGTAACTATTTCACAGTGTAAGATGTATTAATTATATTTAGCAATTAAATACGAAACATCAAAATGTCTGGCGGCGACACGGAACATTTCTTCATTTTAACATTTACTTACTATTTATCTAAGAGTATTCCTTGTCTATTTCAGTTAGTAACATTTCGCAATGTTACATTTCATATTCAAATTGATGCAGTATAACATAATATAATGTTATGTTTAATTTATATTAAAGCGGCTGAAATGATATGTTTATTTTTAATTGTTTGAGAAGGACTTGTTATAGAATGCATGTTATAGGTGCTGCATGATCAAAGTAGGTACTCTACTTATAAGAACTTCTGATAGATTTATTCAGCTATTTGGTACATTTATATCATGGGACATTTTTTGCCTCGATTTTAAATAGAAATATAAGGTTTTTGTAAGTCCTCGGTGTCTTTTTATTAAGTTGAGTGCGTTTATTTCTAAAGCAAATCATTTATAAAATGGGTTTGATTCTTTAAAGAGTTTATTTTACAAGAAATATCTAATTATTTCCTTATTATTATTAAGTTAATATATAAAGTTTATCTAATGAGAAATCAATAATACGGTGGTAATCCGGGAGTACCTATCGTGGATTTGACAATGGAATTGTGTAGAATGTAAACCTACATTATTACCTACATTATTTTAGACATGAAACCGTGAAAAAGCTACACCAAATCAGAAATAATATCTTTTGCTTATCTTATGAAATACATATATATCATACGTAGGCACATTTTTTATTTTATGTGGGTACTACACAATGCGGTTGAGTAACACAGACTGAATATCAACCGGTATTTGAATTTAATTAATTGAAATAAAATTTCAACAAACAGGTGGGTACATTGTTTATCTTTATGGTACAATGGCGGCTACACCTGTGGTACAGTTCACATCACAAATATGTAATCCATAAAGTGGAACACGTTATATTGTAGGTAACTATAAACAGTTCATGGGAAACATATTTTTAGAAACTTAACTGTGGTTAAATAATTGGTATAATATTACAGATGCTTCATTAATAAATTATTAACTTACGTTGAAACGGGTTATGCTAATATCCCTAAAACAGTTACTTATTCATTATCTGTTTTAGTGAGAAGATGTTGAGTGATTAATTAGATGATTTATTGAACTAACTGACAGTTAGTAGGTAATAGTTAATAAGGCTTTAAAATGGAAAGCTGTTTTTTAAATTCCAAAGGTGAAAAACTTGATTAAAGTAGCGTTTTTCGCGGTGTTATTGTACGTGTATATTACAGCTATCTGAATCTATATATTACTAAATGAAGTACGTTCGCGTAAGTTATTGTAGAAAATAATGCTGCAATCAGTTCTGATAAGATTAAATTTGGAATACCTACTTAAACTTTGGAGTACTACATTTTTTAATCAATATCTTATATATAAAATTCTCCTGTCACAATGTTAGTTACCATACTCCTCCGAAACGGCTCGACAAATTTATATGAAATTTTGTGTGCACATCGGGTAGGTCTGAGAATTGGCCAACATCTATTTTTCATACCCCTAAATGGTAAGGATTTTTTTTTTCGGCTAAACAGCGTTTGCCGGGTCAGCTAGTGTATTATAAGATTAAATATGAACCTAGTATGCTTAATACCGGGCATCATATAAAACCAAACAATTGAAACTTAATGAATGATTTAAGGTCAAAAATCGTCTGGGTGATCTCTAGAATCTATATTATGTTCTACACAAATATAAGTCAAAATGAAAATATTCATTTTCTGTAAGTAAATCACAAATAGAACAGAGATAATGTATTACAAGTATTATGCAGTACTGTATTATTATATCATATTAATATATCAAACACACAATTTTACTTTCAAATCGTTATAATAGTAAAGTCTTGTTCACTAACAAAGATGTCTGTCATCATAACACTACATTTACAAAAAAAACACATTTATATTTAAATCTTGTCTTAGATGATCCTATAGTTCAGTATTCGTAACAGTGATTCAAATTTTTCTAAATGCTGAACGCTAATGCTACGAAACAAAACTGACAGTGAATGGGATTCGGTTGAAGACCTACAGTGGGGGAAATTATTCAGTTTGCGAGCATGCTCGTGAAGCGAATACGATTGTCACATAGCTGAACAAATATATATTTGTTCAGTTGTATACCTATTTTGTATATTAAATAGGTACATTTACCAGACAAAAATTTATATGACATAGTTAACTACCACGACGATGAACCCGCCAACTACCACGCAGTTAGTAAAGTAGGAGAAAAAGTTACAATGATATTGAATACTAACCAGCCAGCCAGCCACGACTTCCCTTATAGAAACAGATTGTAGCTGGCTGCTTAGAGTGCACAAGGGCTTGTATTCCTAACCTTCTAATTTCTTTGCTAAGAATAACACTAAATAAACTCGGGCTATTTAAGATGTTTCAGTATTCTTAATGTTATTGCTGACACTTAGGAATATTTATGTAGTGCACTGTACTTTTGAATTTGGCTTTCAATTTGTAGTTTCCTTGCAAATAATATACCAGTTTTCATGTTTTCCTAGCTAGTGTAGGTGTGTCTTGAGGTTATTAATCTTACATGACAAAATAAAAATGGTTAAACAAACATTAATTAATTTAAAACGCTCTGAAAGCTAATAATAGGCTAATAGCCTATTAGCTCCAATGACATACTTCCAGCACAGGAATTCGTCTAGGTCTAGTGAATCAGATAATACCGTGACGTCATTGTGACGTTAGCGCGTCACTTGCGCGCGCGCATCCAAAAATATGAGTACGGCTGTCTAATCAAATCATTTATTAGTTCGCATTTACTGTTTTAATGTGGATATCATTTTGTAACAGCTTGGAGTTTTTAGTTTAGGTGTGTCAATGTGTTTTACTTGCTTTGTCGAGAGATATTGTCGGGCATACTATTTCTTCTGATAATTACGTTACTCTGACACTAATTAATAACTCCTTAATACTTATACAGGTTGGATGACGGTAGAGGAAGCTTATTTATTAGTCACTAGCCATGCTTCTTCTGAGCTTCTGTCCTAACTACTCACTCACTCACTACTCTACATCTAAGGGTCGTAGTAGTTTTAAAGTTTATATTATTCGTCAATAAATATTCTATCGAAAAGAAGAAAAAATAAATTCAAATTTGAATGGTAGTTTCAAAGATTACCGCGTCTAAACAAACATGTAGAGAATGGTATGTGAAGATATGTTAGTTTTAGCCTGTGTTACAATATTAAGACCTTTTTTTTTTTCTTTTTTTTTTTCACACATCTCACACACGGCCGTCTGATCCCAAACTAGGCAGAGCCTGTACTATGATAATCAGTTATTGATTATAAAGTAACTAAATACTCACTATTACAAGCAGCATTAAAGTCTTCGTCCTTCGGCATGTTGTATGGTGTTTCATCCATCGGGGAGTATGGCACAAAGCGAGGCAACATCATTGGCTGCGCAGGTGACGGTGACCGCTGCTTGCTCAGGTTCAGGGGTGCGTCGGGGTCTTGCGGTGGGGGAGAGCGGGCGTTCGCGGCTGATAGCTGGGCTAGCTGCGCTTGAGCTTGTGCTTGCCATCCTGCGTTTTGTACCTTTAATCAAGAATATATAGTTAGATTATGTTCTAGTTACACAATAAAGATTAAAAAAAAGTGAATTTAAGTGTATGAGGAGTACAGCCTCAGAGAGGAGTACATGTCAGCCATATTCGGCAGGGTGGCAAAGCCCTTTGCAAGATCTGCCAGAGTTTTTAAGATTTATTTCCAAGGGTATACCCGAATCAATTGCAATAGACTCACATGTGATGGAGCATCGTGTGGTTTTCGTTGGTTCGATTCCAAAAAACAGCTCCACCGTGAGCCTCGCATACGTGATGTTGCCACACGTAAAATAAAATATCATCTATGATATTTGGACAACTTATTTTGTAATGCTTATGTATTAATATTAGTATAAAATTCATCTCAGATAAAGGAATATTGAACATAAAAATAACATTATGTATAATATGTATGGTAGGAGTGGAATACCTAATTATAATTTTACATAACAAACGAGGAACTAGTGTAATTAGTGGAGAACAACTTTCATTTTAACATCACAAGTTTTTTGTAAGTTTTTAGTTGCGCCATTTTGATATGAAGGTTACATGTAATCAAAATAAGGAGGGGCTAGCTCTCTAGACTGTTGACCATATATTTACATTTCGTTTAATTGATTAGCTGATAGTTGAGGTTGTAGAAACGAACACTGTTTAGGTTTACACCTGCAATCACCTGGTACCATCTAATACATGAAAACTCACTACTACATACTCAGTAACTTCCAACTGGAATGTTTTTTATAGGTGTGGGCAGTCACTGCCACCGGAGTTTTTAGTGAGACTTTGTTTCTAAATTTAATTCATTAAAAACAAGAAGATGGGCCATACTGAACCTGATGTAAATACACTTCATACCTTAAATATTGAGTTACAAGATTACTAATTATTTTTGACTCACATTACAATAATTCTTTATTTATTTTAATTAGACATCGAAAATATTGCTACTTTTAAATCAAACTTTTATTTGATGAAATGATTGGTATTGGTCACTATGATTTCAATTGTGATAAATCACTGCCCAGATTTGGTCAGAGACAAAGATTTTTTAGTCGCAGTGATGTTGTAGATGAGTCCCAGGGTCCCAGGGGATTAATCACAGGCGGTAGATATTTTATCACATGCCTAATTTTAATAGAAACGAATATGGATATTATACATTTAACATCTGCATGAGTACGTCCTTAGTTCTGGGAGGGACCCCCTGAAACTAGGGACGTACTCATTCAGAAGATGATGACGATGCGGAGGGGGGGGGGGGGGCGATTACATTTGCCTATTTGCTATTGCCCGCGGCTCAGCTTACGTGATTATTCCTTATGACTACTAAACAGTGGATTGTGTCTAAAGTTATTCTCTAAAAAGAAAAAGATATTTCTGACATCTAACACACAATGCCATCTAGTTTCAAGTATATAGATAATAACGTATGTAGCGTGGACTAGTATTCTTAATTAATGCAAGTAATTGTAACTCCTTCCTGTTGTTGATGCATTTTATAATAAAAATACATTATATTCGTTGCTATTAATATGTCCGGAATCGATTGTTTTGGCAGCCCTGTCTGTTGATAAACACAGTGTCAATAATTAGTGTTTCTGTTCGCAGGAAATGAGCCAATGTTTAGTTTCGCGTCGTGATTATGGTTTGCCCAATCAATTTCATCATACATATGTGTAGACTATATATTTAAATTTCGTTGATCATAATTCCTAGATATTATTAGCTCAATACTTCACAGAAAAATATCTATATACTCGTATAAGAAGGGCAAAGACAAAACAGTTATCCTAACATTTTCTCCTCTATTTGTCATTCGACCTTTTTTCATTTTCTTTCTCTTCTAAATACCTAGGTACATAGTGGTATTTCTAAATTTTACATTCGCTAGTAAAGGCCTTGTATATATATGTAGGTTTTAATTAAAAACTTAAATTCATAATAGTAATACTTATAATTAAAAGAGCGTTATCTGCACAATTAAACAGCATGGAGCTGACAGGACAAAAATCATTCAATCCCTTCAAACAAAGTGTAAAAATCTTTTAAAGTAACCTCTACTTAATAACTTTTTTAAAGTTTATATTTTTTTAATTACTGTTCAGTTCACTTCACATCACACATCATCAGCCTATCGCAGTCCACTGCTGGACATAGGCCTCTCCCATTGCACGCCACTTAGATCGATTTTGGGCTTCAGTTCACTTCCTATGACTCAAATAGATAGCTACTTACATTTGGCGGTGGTGGCTGTTGCCGCATCTGCTCCAACAACGGCAGTAGTGCTAGGGGAGGGCCTGGGTACATGCCATGCTGGCCCCGTCTCGCCAATTCTTGCCGACGAAGCTGCTCTTGTTGTAACCTCTGGATCTCCAGCTCCGCCGTCACATTGCCTATATTCTGTAACAATATAGAAAAACTTTAGAAAGTAATTTAATCATCTAAGATTTCTTTTTTAAAAAAATCTAACAAAAATTAACTTGCTAACTTTTTATTTTCATAGAGTTCAAAGCAAAATATTTGCATTTTGGGGAACCGAATCTTATGCTTATCACATAGGTCATTTTTTTCAATTTGAATATGAGGGCCAAACATTACTGAACTAGGAATCCCTTAATTTTAGACAAAAAGATCGTATAGCTAAATATAGACTACTTAGTCACTAGAACTTTGAAATCAAAACTGTTAAAGGGACCGACGACAGTAATTTATACACACATATTAACAGTAGAAGATAAAATAAGTACCTAACTATGTGTAAATAATAACTGTTATTGCTTTTAGATACAAAAAAGTCGTAATTTCTCGAGCCACCAGCATTTCAAGCGTAGTCATTAATAAAGCAACTTAATATGTACCAACAAAAGGCGCCGCGGTGCCCAACGCCCCAAGTTTTGAGCTCACAACTTTCTGCTATCAGTCTTAACGTCTCACGACGCGATATTTGTTCCTCACAATATATTGCACACTTAAATACCTCCAAGCACAAAGAATAAGCTAAAATGTGTTCACAAATCAACCAGTCGGGCGGTCACTAAATCTTGGTGACCATAAAGCGAATCATCCAAAAAAGCACATCAATTAATTGCCTGGGAGTCGTGACGAATAACTCTATATACATTTTATCGTCTCTTCATTAAGACGGTATTGAATCGTTAATGGTTGTTCAAAATAAGACGTTATAAGGTGATGAAATCAAAACAGCTCGACGATGCGAGTTTCCGGACGAGCGGAGACTTTTCAACGCAAAATATGAAAGGATTTCAGATTAAAAAGTTTCCTGCAAACATATCAACGCTCCTGCCAGTAGGAATTTAAGTGAATCACCGTCGGCGGAGATAAAAAAGGAGAAGCTTTAATGGAAGACAAAAGCGAATGCATAAATAAACGTGACATAATCGCGCGAATAAAAAGTGGTTCGCTGTGTAATAGAGGGCAGGCGGGCCTCCGCAGTGGCAACACAGCGCCAACGCTAACTGTAATCGACCGTCGAAGTTTTTCCATCGGCCTGACAAATTGCCGTCATAACCGAACGGATTAAACTTTTTATTAAAAACAACAAACTGAGCATAATGTATGGGCGTAATCGGTAAGGGACAGATGTTCCTGAATAACGTACGCGATTTATCTAATGTAAAAAGACTTTTATTTAATAGCTCTGCGGAGATGTCCTAGCAATTGCAGCTTATATTTTACACCGTATCGTCGTTTTGACATTTCGGCCGAGTTTTGATAGCATTATTAATGTTACGGATGATATAAAAATGTGATTTTTGATAGAGTGGACCAGCTGGCGATCGCAATTTATTGTGTGAGATTCGCAGGTGGAGCGCCCGTAAACATGATATGGATGAAAAACAGTTACGATCGAGTTGGCACTCGATCTTAGCTGTTTTTATTTAATTTCAATCAGTATAATGATGGCCATTATACTGATTGAAACAATGCAACCCGTGCCAATGGAAATAGGTGGCTGTGATTTGGCGAGACCCGATGCCCGGTGTTCTGTCAATAATGGTTGTAAATGGAACCGAAAACATATTTTGTTATTGTGTCCTTGTCATTTGCATGTATAAAACGTTTTCCTCTTTCTATATTTCTTCTCTACTGAACGTCGGTAGTTAATCATAGAAATATTATTAATGGTTTATCTTGCTCCTGAATGGTTAAAGAGGCCTTGACATGAAATCTGTCAGAAAATATAATGACAGAGAATAGCCGTAACTATAAGAGATTTGCTTAACATCGTATCAAAAATTAAGACATAAATCCACATCAGCTGTCGACACATTTTCTATTACATAAAAAATAAAATTTCCTAACGATGGGGATAAGAAACAAATCCTTATAATACTATTGTCAATGAAACGCGTCGAATAAAACCCTACTGATTTATACGTAAGCATAGATTAGCTAAAAGAACACGACAAACCAATGTTATCGTGAGATATTTAGTGGACAAAGAGATCAAAACTAAACACCGGACATACCATGACATAATTTATAATGTGGGCGCCGATATCAAAATAGTAATCCTATTTTTTTTAATGTCAATTTTAAAGGATATTGACTCTTAAGCGATGGAAATAAGAACTTTGGGGGTGAATTAAAAGGAAGATTAGGTGAGAGAACACGGAGACCTGTATAATGAAACAGACGTCACATTGACGTAAGAGATGCAGATCTTTTGAGTGAAATCATAATATTTACTGTGACAGTAGCGTGAGCTCATTTTTAGGTAGATTATTCTAGTCACAAACGTAGGTTTGAGGCAGCTACAGATTTATTTGTTGAACCTGTTAGTAAGATCATTTTTGTCAGTGGAGCTAAAAATAACTAAATATCTAAAATCTAACTGCGTCGATCTCTCATTGCTAGATAACCTGTGACTGTCAAGTCAAACCAAAACGTCAATTATTAAACGTCAAAACGATTGCGGTACATATTTGTATGAAATACTGAGACGTGACGTCATACCTAGTTTAATATTGATTTCAAGATATAAAAAATTCGATAATGGAGGACAATTCATGCTGTTCTTTAAAGTATTACAATTATTAATTCAGACAAATAATTTGTTTTAAACAGGAATCTACCCGAGGGGCATAAAGAAGTTGGGCCTATCTAGTGACGACGCTTGTCAGCGAGGTATATAGCGCCAGAAGAGGCGAGGGCAAAGAAGAAGAAGAAGAAACATAGGAATCTACCCTATTGTTTATCAAATATGAATATCAAGTTTTCAATCCCCAGCTTATTAGCACCCTTTTTAAGTTATTTTGTCTGTTTAAAACTATCAAATTATTTATTAATACCATGACCCTAAAGTGTTGATAATTTAAAAAATACAATTTAAAAGGGCCAACATGATTTTGAGGGGGCATTGGGGTATTATGGTGTAACGATGACATATCAAAATGAATTGCTAATGCACCACTGGGAATAACGCATGCATGGAGGAGATATTTCTTTTAGAGTATTCGTTAACAAAGGTATAGAGCTGACATTTCCTTAAATATGTATTAAATAACAATAATTTGAGTAATTTAAAAAAATAACGAACTAAAGTTCTTGTTTAAAATTTTATTATTTGTCTATGTTGCATATTTATAAAAGTTTTTTGTGTTTAAAAGATTGTTTATGTTCAAAATATTTTATTAAATTATTTACTAAGTTTCTCTAAAACTAGCAGAAAAACATTCTTCTAACGAATTCAGATCAATGTTTTGCTACACATAGGAGATCCTGTGTACAATATTCCGAATTACATGCAACACAACATATCAAACATATTCAGATATATGTCATATATTTGAACATTTAGAAATCGAATCTTTGAATACATCTTAAAATATACTAATTAAAAAAAAAAATTATTATCGATGAAGTACCATTAATTTATGGTACCTAATTCTTTAATCTTGAGATTTATTATAATATCTACAGAACAAAAAATATTAAACAAAGTGCCTATGTTCTATTCTCTCATAATTATGTTATCTATAATATGATCACGAGCAAACATATTACAGCATGCATTATGTTTCGTGAAACTAAAACAAAACTCAACTTTAATGACGTTATTAATTATAAAAGTTATAACCAATAAAAATATATTTAAAAGTGCAGCGGCTCTATCCCATCTCTAAGCCGATACTTAAATGCGCTTTAGTGCTGATCAGAGATATCGCGCTGCACTTTCAGCAACATGTGTTGTTAGTTGCTACTGTGTTGATAGAAAACTAAGTTAACAATGACTCATACGTTTCCATTGTTACAATGTTTAGAAACTTAATAGTATATACAAATTAAATATATATTAGGCTAATTAAAGGCCGCCATTATTATTACAAAACTGACATCTGTCACTTCGATTTCTTTTAAATAATCATATCATAGACTAAATACTAAGATACGTTCGTAATATTTAAATAGTGAACATCTCTTTGTAGTCTATTGTGCGATTGTCTTTGACAAACCTTTGTACTTAGTATAAAAACTGTAAAATTTAATTTTGTTTTATGAAAAAACATTAATGGTTTGGTTTTAAGCCCTCAACCTCGGTTTGAAACATAACATTTACAAAGCATAAACAAATAAACATTATGACTTAGCGAAACAGCGTAGCAGGTACAATCGCGTACGGCCCTCTCTGCAGGAGACCCTTTATCTGAGAGTATATTTTTTAATTTTATCGACCAATGAGTTGCAGATATTCGAAGGTACCGATCTTATCTAATGTTCGCAGTGATTATAAAATGTTTTCTGCAAAATGGACTTCAAGACTTAAAAGATTATTTTTAAAATATTGTCAGTGCTTCTTCAAGGGTTTGTATGTTAGGCAGTTTGATGATGATGATAAACTAAAATAAATACGTTAAATATTGTTATGGTAAAGATCCTATTAATATCAAGGATCTGTAAAATCTGTTGAAGAAATACAATACTTTAAAAGAAAAATAGGTATGTACATAATAACGATAATACGATTCATGAGAAGAAATATGAATTGTTTTAATTATAACTTGCAAGGTATTAAATTAAAACTGTCCTGTGATTTTATTGTTTTAAGATTAACATTTTACAGTTCAGAAACACAATAGGCGCGTACAACAAATATAATATACACAAATTACATAATTTCATCTATAGATAATTAATATTTATATAAAACAGTCCAGCGCTTGTTTCTAAAACAAAACTCTTCAAACAAAACATTAAAAAGAAGTTATTCAGAAGTCAACACTCTACATCACCCGCCCACTTCTGTCCCTGATTTGTTATTAATTCATACAATACTTGAGGTGAACAATAGCCAGTAATGGTGGCAACCCTGTGAAGTGGCATCCCTGTGGTGGGTACAAATTAGCGGCTGATTGGTATCGGACGTCGGCTGACACGTGCCACCGAATTATTGCATTTTCATCTCACTGCTTCCCAGCCACGCTCTCTTGCCTTTTCATAATAGATTCAAACTTATAAGATCTATATACACAATTTTTATGATTTGTGCAATAAGCGTAAATGTGTTTTTATTGATTTTAGAAGTAAAATATTTTTAAATTTGATCTTGATTTATCTAATTTGCTTTAGAATCAAAGTGGCTAGTTACAACATTGCAAACATATAGTAGTGTAATTAATTCATACATAAAATTTAACATTAAAAGGTTTAATAAATGTTATAGTAATGGTACCCGAAATCTGACAAACTAAAGACCTTGTTTAGATAAAAAAATAATTGAAAATCTAATCAATCCTCTGCTAATTCAGTAGCACAGTATTTTATTCTACGTATTGTTTCCTTTTCATATGAAACTCGTAAAATAACACAAACGTTACCTTAATGTTCGATATTAACAAAACTTTCTAAAAACATAACACGGCACCTTCTATTATTTTACAGCTTCCCTTCGACATGAGACACATAACAAAGTTGGGTAGTAAATCAAGAAATTAAGCTATTACCGCCACATCACAAGTCGGCATCGCTTTTAACTCGACTTTTTCATAATGCAACAAAACAATTTTTAGACTTCCGCTCCCGTAAGTAACGACTTTATAATTTGAAACATATTTTGTTACCGTCAGTACCTGCCATAGAGAAAGCGTTTTTCAAGGTTTTAAAGTTGATTTTGATCGATTGATGACATCGCGTGCTCTGATGATGGACGAAATTGAGTAATTTGTAATATCAACAGGGTAATTTATTTGAATTAGACTTATTAGTGTAATATTTTGGTCTTGTCCGACTATTTGATTAATTGTTATTGACTTATCACACTTCTTTCAACAGATCCTTAAATTAAGGTGATGATCTTATGATTATGCAATTGTACTATCGATATAAAAAACACCTACTTTGTCAAGTGATATTCACATAAAGCTTGCCCTGCTTTTATCGAAAATAAATAAATATGACGTCAGTAAAAACATTGAAAATTGTAACTTAAAACACGACCATTTGAACTCAAAGGCAGAGCCTGTATTATAGAGTGCTGATAAAAATACTTATGTATATGAATTTAACTTAAACTAGCTTTTGCCCGCGACTTCGTCCGCGTGGTGGTCGACGTCAGACATCGTAGAGGATTATAAAGTTTCACACAAATTTCCAATCAAAAAATTCATTTACTACATTCATGGTAGTAGTTACTTAAAACATATATTGAGTAAAAATTCGAAATATAATAAACTGCATTCATTATTTCTTAATTTTTTTTAATAAACTAAGCTACCTACTACCTATGTACTAAACTAACACGCCTTATAAAATGAAGCAGAGTAATTGAGAATACCCTATTATTTATTATAAACCCTTATTTAGGTCGGTTAAAACAAATATATATATAAATAAATATTATTAATCTTTTTAAATGTATATTACACAGATACCTTTGTATAATAGTATCCTAAAATTACCACTCGAAGGACCATAAGGATTCAAAAACAGTAAACAAAAGAGTGCCTAAAGGGACGACCACCGGACCGTACTAAACCCCGAGAGAGTAACAGAAACAGCTAAACCTCCCTTAACCTCACCCTCCCGCCTCTTGCTTTACTCCCTGTCTTGCCTCCTGCCTCTTGCTAGCCCCGGATGCTCGTCCCACTTCAGCTTTTCTTTTATTCCTTGCCTACTCTTGTTTATTTTTGTTTTCCGTTAGCCGCCGGAAATAATAGCGCTAGAGTTGTAAGGATATGGCTTTTCATTTTTACGTGTTATGTGGTAATTTTATTTAAAATAATGACTTAAAATTTGCTAAGTTTGTCTTCAATGTTAAATATATTTTAGTATGTTATTTGGGTAGATGTATTGTGATGCGTTTTTTTTTAAATTTGACAGTAACATGTTGAATGATATTCTGGATAGGTATCTCTTTAAATTTAAATTATGTTCTCCTGATTGGAAAAGGATTTTTTATTTATCCATAATTTCACAATTTGTTGTGTTTAGCGAGAAATAAGTCTGGACAAAGATTTTAAATAAAACTTGATATATTTATTGATATATCATCACATAACTTTCAGCAAGTTAATAAAAATATAGTAACATTATATCTCCAAATTCATGTCTAATTATCGGATTATAAAGTCATATAATCTAAAATTTCTGAAAGAACTCTATAATACGTTGAAGGAAATGTTTTTACCTCATCCTCTCTATGCTTTCGTATCCCCAAGATGACCTTTTGTAGGCGATAGAGCCGTGGAGTGCCGTCATTATTCTGCTCCGCATTCAATTCTATATTTAACCATATTAAAAACAAAACTGAGCAGCGTACTCTTATTCACTCGCATTAATTAAGCATTTCACTGTTTATGAATTGTTTTGGATGATAATATTTTCACGTATTATACATTTCATTTATTTAATGAAGGCAGGATTTACAATTAGTTGTATTATCACAACATATTTAATATCGTGCGCATAATTTGTTTGTATACCTAAAGAATTTTGCCTGGTATTGTTATAAAAACTGGTTAATGATGTTTTATAATCACAGTAAAAAAATCAAATGGAATATCTATATTAAGATTTTAAATTACAATTGTATACTTTAAGATTAAAGAAAACCGATGTGCAGTTTAATGTGTACATTTACAAGATCACAAAAAAATTACGCACTAAAAGACAACAGCTTAGTGTGATTTGAAATACTATGTCTGAATATTTACACTTAATCGGCTCTACAACAAAACCATAGTGGCCATTAGATATTATGTATGTATCCAAGGCTTTGTGCACATCAATGGCAGATGCCACAAAAGTGCGAAACCTCACCGCACACGAGAGAAAAGATTAATAAAGCTTAGTACACTCAACACCTGTCTTTTGTCGCTAATGGACCGCCTCTAATCTCCCGGGAGATAGTGCGGTGAGGAAAAATAAGAAAAAATGTGTTTTCTGTTTATTATGTGGAGCAACACAATATCGTTCTAGTGTAAATGTGTTATTATAAATATATTTAATTTATGGTTGAGTTTGATTTACCAAAAAACTATGGACGTACTTTAATTGAACTTCTGGTTTAGAATGTGAAAAATGCAAATAATATATATAATGCAATTAATAGATAAATTAATTTAGAAAGATATACCCTCTTTACTCTTTTCAATTGTCAAACTGTTACAACAAATTCAGAAACATTCATATTAATAATCATCAATCATACTAATACACCGAAGAGTATTTAAGGTCAGTAAACAATATAACCAACCACTAATTTTTATAACCTAAAGCTGTATAAGAAACTTAGCTCTTGAGAAAGTTTCAAATAAGCCATCGAAAATTAAAAGATACAGTCATTTCTAACTTGTTTGTGCTGAAAATAATTGGAGGAGACTCGAGCTAACCGCTCGGATGGGGGTAAAAAGCGAGTTATCCGGCCAAAAAGGCAAGATATCCGGGTAACAAGCCGGGCAAAATGCACTAACGAGGATGCAACCGAGCTTGACTTGAGATGTAAGGCTTTTGTGACCTTATGGTATTCTGTTTTCGACTTTCATTTTGGGATTAAGGCTTAGTTTAAATCATCATTTACATATTTTAGTAAAACAATTTTTGGATATTGTAGCTACATAGTGTCTAGATTAATTCATTATGTAATTAAAGTATTCTCAAGTGTTTAAACAGATTCCTACTCTTCATTATTAATCACACTTGTAAATTTTCAAGCTTTTATGTTACAGCTGATTGGTTTTTAGGTATAGACTTATGTTTTCATTGAATTTAAATAGTTTTTATGGTATTTTTTTTATAATTCTCCATAACATTCAAGAATTTTGCAACACGCACAATTGTTTTCAAGAACAATTTTAAGGAAAATCCATGTAATATTTGGTTATACTGCTGACAACCCTAGATCTGGGTAGAGAATAGGCTTAGAACCGCAAAACTATTTAGCAGTAGGTACTAATTACCAGTTACCGTCAGGTTTTTGACGCTTATAGTGAGATCAACTTACACTGGAGTACCTGATTAGGACCTGTTTATTAAACTGGCAAATAGTCGTTACCATAAAACTCTCGCAAGACCTTCCTGTGACAGTATATTGCAGACGTTGTCAACCGTGTCTTAATAGCCAATATTTTAGTATTTTTCAACGAATGTTTCTTTTAGGACCAGTCTATCAGAATCAATAATTTAGATTACATTGGTTCCCGAATTAGTGTTGTAGTACTTTATACTAATTAAAAGTAGACTTCGCGGTACACAAGCATGTAATTGTATTTATTTAAAATTAAAAAAAATACGTAAAAATAATTCCTGTTCTACATACAGATTCTAGGAAAAGTTGAGTAGGTACGTAAAATATATATTTCATCTCCGACATACAATTAATCAGTCTCATAAAAAACATAATGTTCTAAGACTAATTTTATTATTACTTGTTTAAATGCTTGATGTTGATTCGAATTATATTCTTAGAAGTTTTTTTCATAAATTCTCTTTTCTATGAAATTGATTTGTCTGTTTTTACAACATTGATAATTAATTTTTATTTGATCTGAGCTCATTACAGCAGAAGGACGAAACGAAATAGCTGTCAATTTGACATGTGTCAGTACCGTAGTGGTTATTTTTTAAGTCAATTGTATACGTTATTTACGACCATACTGTATTACAAAATCAGTCTCCTGAATGGTTCATGGCCTGTGTTTTTTCACGGTCCGGCTTTTTTCTATTACATAATACATAACTCGCTACTTAGTTTAGTAATGTTTTAGTGCAACTGTCTTTATTCGAATGCAGACGCACATTCAAAATGTGGTGATTCAAAATATATAGACTAGTGTTAGCACTACAGAATGTGGGATATAAAAGTTACAGATACATGTATAAAATTGCCAGCAAAACTTGATAGTCCAATGGGCTTTGATTTATCTGTTCCTCGTTGACGGACATAAATACAATGATTCGTCAAAGTCGTCAATCAGTCGCGCGTCATTCGGCACCGCTGCAAACGCGTCATTAAAATATTTATTGTTTATTAAAACCGCCATAATCTCGGCGATGATGGCCGGGAGACTTAACTTTTTAGTTTTATCAACATAGTTGCTACATATATGTCTAGGGGACCGGTCTGACTTAAGCCAGTAACGCAATACTTATTAAGTGCCGGGCATACAAAATAAGTAATAGGTATTTAAATACGACATTAACAGAAACTGTTTAAGAAAGGCCTATAGTACTCATTTTCTTTCTTTCTTAATATCTTAAATTATAACTATTTATTTGTATTACATATCGTTGATTTGTCTGACGTTTCGGGCAGGTTTGTCCGTTTTTATAGGATGACTTATGTACCCACTACTTAAATATAATTTAACGTGATAGTTTAATCCTTGGTATACCTCTGTCTGTCTGTGATGTTAATCAATTAGTTTCTATTTCAATAAATTGTTTTTTTTACAAAAACGTAGTTCTTTGCAATTGTGAAAAAAAACTTCCCACAAGATTTTCTATTCATATCCGGGGTTAAGGCATT